AGCCCAACATGGTTTAAGGAAAGGCAGATCCTGTGTTACTAACTTACTATCAGCTTGGGGCGACTGGACATCATGCTGAGATATGAATGTTCCAGTCCATGTGGTCTTCCTAGACTTTGAGAAGGCATTTGACACTGTTCACCATGACCTTCTCCTACACAAAATAAGTCAGGCAGGTATAGGTAAGCCACTTCTGTCATGGTTGAAGGACTACCTAGCTGAAAGGCAATTTTGCACTAAGGTCAATCGAGTCCGATCATCTTGGCACAGCTCGTCATCAGGAGTGTCGCAGGGTTCTATCCTAGGACCACTGATGTTCTTGATTTTTATCAATGATCTACCATGCCGTCTAAGCTGCCCGACTCTTCTATACGCTGACGACGTGAAGATATGGAGGGCGATAAAGTGTCCGGAGGACTCAGATAGACTGCAGGCAGATCTAAGGCTTCTGGAAGACTGGGTGGTGGCCAGTGGCATGACTTTCAACCTGAAAAAGTGCAAAGTAGTGAAGTTACGCACCTGTAGACTGCAGAATGCAAGTTACACCCTGTGCAATGAAAGCTTGTCCTGCACAACGTCGGAACGCGACTTAGGTCTAGTTCTAACGGAAAAAATGGACACAAGCGTGAATTACTTGGGAAATGTAGCGAGGGCATATGCGGTCATGCACTTTACGCATAGACAGTTAGGTGCACTCACTCCTGAGTTAGGTTGTACGAAACATACGTCAGACCACACCTTGAAGTTCATAATATCATTGCACCCCCACTGCTTAGAAGAGACGCCAACCTCTTGGAAAGAGTCCAAAGACGCGTTGGTCTCCGAAATCAACCGTATGATAAAAGGTCTCTTCACACTTAGCTACCGCCGGCTTTGGACGGGAGTTGATTACTGCCTATTAGATAACAAATGACCGGAGTCAGCAAAAATATGTGTCCTGCCATTGAGTAGGCAAAGGATTTCTCGTGGAAATCCCAGAAGGATAGCTCACCAGAGGGCAAGGACCCAGGTGCGCTCCCGCTTCTTTTCACTGCGGGTTTGCCGTCCCTGGAATTCCTTACTGGCAGATGTAGCTATGGCACCGTCTGTGGACGCATTTAAGCGACACAAGGACTGCGTCCAAATGGTCTATCCCCTTAAAATCCCATACATTATTAAGGGGTAGACATCTAAATTCGTCGTTTTGCTTCTTTACATTCTCTCCTGACAACTCCAACTACTACACTTACGCATATTATTATTATAATTGCTGATATTATATACACATGTATATATATATATATATCAACTTCAAATTTAACTGCCTGTGTGTTTTTACGTTTTCTTCCTTTCTTTTTCTATCTTTTAGTCTGAATAACCTACACTAATTATATCTCTTATTATTGTTACTATCTCTTTTCTTTTTACGACGATACCGGAGGATTAACTGGTGAAAAGATCAACTTCATTCACAGTAGTAGCAGTCTTAACACACCAAATACTACAAGGAACGTACAATTAATCCCAGCACTACTGCTTTTGGAGTCAACCATAGATACGACAGTCGAGTGGGGGGAAGAACTATGCACAAGTTTGCTGAAGATCAGGAACCTTTATCTCACAATCAAGATGTGAGCACGAAGAAATAAAATTGGTCTACACTAGATTGTAAAAACGATGTTGGATATTGCACATCAGTGTTCCATATATGTCACCGGCCTATGCAGCAGCCTTTCTCTGTTGAAGGCAGTCGGTCAATTGCACTCACCATTAGACGTGCCACTATGATATAATCGTTTGTTTACGCAGTAATCATATTCGAATAAGCTTTCATATGGGCTTGACAACGTTGAGGCTGAGCTGCACATTTCCTACAATCAACTCGTTATTATTAGTTTATCTGTGTTAGGAATATATCTGAGTATATCCTGGAGTATGAAATTTGCACATTATCATAGATCTAACTTGCTCGATCACAATAAATAATTTGTATGTATTAAGTTTTGAACGTTCCGTTATATGTCTGTAGCTATGACAGAAAAATACAGAGAATTATTCGCAAACCTCTGCGCTTCCAAAGATCTGGTGATCGGAGGGAGCGTGTACAGTCACAAGGATATGCACATAGCAAAATTGATTTCGCCTGATGGACACACCATAAACCGGATAGATTACTTCTCAATGCTGCTCAAGGAAGTGAAGATGAAGCCTGCTGGACACAAAGTCAAGGACAGCAGCAGATGTGTCCTCAGGCCGTCATCTATTTCAAGGAACCTTCAAGGTGAAGCAGAAATACTTCAAAACAGCTGAAGATAGGAAGCAATTCAAGTTCAACATTCAGAAACTGAAAGACGAAACTACAAAAGATGCCTTCATTGCAACCATTGGAGCGAATTCGCTGACATAACGTGGTATCACCGAGGAAACCTACTTGGAAGAACATTGGAACTCTCTTTAGGCAATGTTCAAGGAAACGTGTGCGAGTGTTCTAGGAGGAAACAAGAGACACGAAAAGGAATGGCTCTCAACGGACACCTAACTGGAAGCTCATAGAAGCGAGAAGAGGAGAATGGTGAAAGAGAAGATGACTCAATGCAAAGATGGACAACGCAGGGAGAATCTGAGTTCGGTGTATATTGCACTGAATCAAGAAAGAAGTGAACATGGGTACCAGAAGAAACAAAAGACAATTTTACGACACACTGGTGGGCAACTGAAGCAGAAGAGGCAGGCAGCAGGTGAAACAGACCTGAAGAGATTATATCAGATATCCAGGCCTCTATCCAGGAAGAGATCAACACAGGTGAAACCTATATGAGATGGTCAAAGGAACGTGATAACGAAGAAGGAGAAACGAATAAAACAATGGACTGATCACTTCGAACGACTCTTGAATCAACCATCACCTGCAACTCGCCTAAATTTACGAATACCACCAACAGAACTCACAGAACCACCTGTCAGTGGACACCAATCCTCCAATGAAAGCAGAAATCCTAAATGCGATCTAGCTGCTAAACGTCGGCCGCGAAGGCAACAGGACCCGATGTAATTCCTTCTAAGCACTGAAAACGGACCGAGAGGCTGCCGCAGATGTGCTCACGCCATTACTGTAAAGGGTTTGCAAAAGAAGGAAAGGTACCTACCGAATGGAAGATAGGCTGACTGGGGAGGGCAACTTAGGCCTCACACTTTAAGAAGTCGCATGGAATAATGCTCTTCTCCACGTCAAGTAAAATAATAAGCCACGTCGTCCTGGAGAGAATAAAAGATGCACTGGGTACAGAACTCCGCCCATCACCCGAAACAAAATGGATTCAGGAAAGGCAAATCATGTGCTGAGCAAATTGCAACTCTACGCATCTTCATCGGACGAAGCATAAAGTGGCAGTCAAACCTACCTCAACTTCATTGACTTTGGAAAGGCTTTCACCAGACAGCACATCGTAGACCGAGAAGTAATTTGGAAACTGCTTCAACACAATGGCATGCAGTGCCGAAGACCTTAGCAACCTCATTCAACAGCTGGCCAAATGTCAATGCCATGTGTGAGGCGATCCACAACGGATAACTCAGTGAGGCGTTCGAATCGAACACAGGAGTGAGACAAGTCTGGCTGCCTATTATCACCGATGATATTCTTAATTGTGGTGGATTGGATTATGCATCAGACTGTGCACAGGGAGTGAGAAGACAGGATTACGCTGGACGAACGATATGGAGATTAGTAGATCTGGATTTCGCAGATAATATGTGTCTAATGTCACACAAACTCGAAGACTTGCAGGGAAAACCAAGAAACTGGTAAATGAGGCTGGGAGTGAAGACAGGATTGCAAGTGAAAATGGAGAACATGGAGGTGATAAAGCCAACTAACCAACAACGACCAGCACTAACCACCATCAACGGGAGAGATTTCAATGACCTATCTAGGGAGCATCGTTTTATCTACAGGCGGAATGGATGAAGACGTCAAAGCCAGTCAGGATCGGAAAGGCCAGATACAACTTCGTTAATCTGAAACCAGTTTCGAAATTTTCTGCTTCACTCAGTCAGCATAAGTAACAAGATTCCTATTTTCAACACCAATGTTAAGTCAGTCAGTTCCTCTGTACGGGTCAGAAACTTGACCAGCGTGTGACGAAAGGCATTTCCAATAGGTTACTGCAGACGTTTATCAACACCTGTCTTCTATCAATACTGAAGATCAAGTGGCCAGCCTGCCAGAAAGAATTAGCAACAAGAAACTCTTTCTGTAAACAGACCAATCGAGCAGAAATATATACCATTGTAATAAACCTGATTTATGCAAGATAGTGTTTTTAACTTTCTTGCTTTGATGCACACTCCAAAACAATCAATGATGCATTGAGTGAGGGTGTTCCTCCTTGAATATTATTTCCGAGTAATTCGCATTTTTGTAATGGGTTTTAGATGGAGCAAGCCAGCAGGTCATAGGCTGGAAATTGTCAAGCAGCACCTAAATACAGCAGACAGTAATCAGTCTATTATCCGGATGGCTTTGCACAAGATATAAGATAGGATCTCAGGGCAGACAAAATTTTACGAATTTTCGGATGTTTGTCATCAATATTAGCGGTTTTAGGTGACAAGGTAAGTAAGAGACGATTCCATAGTACTCCCCTCATATTTTCGTCAACATTCAGTGTAACTATCTAGCTATCTAGAGGATTTACACGAACATTATAAATTAACATGACAGCTTGACAAATCGCAAGTATGCTTTATTCATAAATACGCCTTAATACATCGAAATGAACAGGCATTTCTGTGTCAAAACATCTTTGTTGTCAGAAATGCCAAACCAGATGCACAGGCAGTTTTTAATGGTGTCATACTCATCTAGAATTATGCACCGTTTTTTGCACACCAAATAAACTAATCAGGAAAAGATTCTACGTGCATTATTTTTCGCGCTTTCAAATTTGGAGAGCGAATTTTCTAAGTTCTGTTCCGACGCAATTTGTAATGAATGTGTTTTAGTATCCCAAAACATGTGACCTTGCTTGAGCGCTGTTTTCATTTACTTATTGTGTTGTCGCCCAAAAGCATTGAAGTCCTGTCTTCAACCTAAGGGGGCTGTATAATTCAAGTAAGAAAACTGAAAGTTTGTGTCCTACATGCCTTGTACATGCACCTGTGTAACACGTATCAGAGTTATCGTCAAGAGCTTTGTTTTGGTCCGATACTTCATATGTAAATATGAGTATAATGGGGACAAATTGGTGTAGGTTGTGTTCAAAAGCGTGTAAATTGGAAATATTTCTTCAGATGACGCTTAAAGTATCGATATATGTGTGCAAAGTGGCGAAATTGAGGGAGGAATTGCAACGATTCAGTTTGAAACTTGGATAATGGTGGGTTACTGCGTGTGGGAATCGTCTTCCTGACTCTGTATTTAAAACACATTTTTTCCACGTTTCATGCAATGTGAAGGAGCATAATAGTAAATGTTTGCTGCTTTTTGATCATTTTATTCATGTTCTTCCTACAGTACATATTTTTTCATATCTGGTCAAATTTCATTTGTTCGTGATTGGAGGTTTATTTCTGCAGTTACAGTAACAGTTTAACTATAGAAAAATTCGTTGAGACGAAAGAGAAGAGGCTGATTCTTTTCTTCCTATTATTAATGTTTGCATGAAGATCTGTCACAAATTTGGGGAAATATCTGTGTTTTCTTTTCAACGATACATTTCAGTCGCCAGATGTTCTCCATTTTTTTCATTATCTGAAAATTACAAAGTGTTTTCAATCGTTTTACTGTCTGTACAAAAATGATCAATTAATATTGACAGGAATATCATCTGCCAAGGAGATAATCTACATTTTAATTAATAAAATACACCTCCACTTGCTGCTTATAAAGTTCAAATGTAGGGATTATTTGCATTTCTCATAGAGGTGTAGCTCTGGCACTCAGAAACGTTTGATTATTCTTGCCATGATTATTGAGCTGCACTTAATTTTTATTTTATTTACCGCATAAAAGTAATAAGAACAGTTAGCTGTAGATTTTGCAATCCATTTAATAATCTAATTATCTTTACAGTGTTACTCAATATTATTCCTGGAAAACCCTTCCTCTGGTATTGACTCCTAGGAGTTTAGTTCATTTCTTGATAAGTGTTTGTCCATCAAGTACATTATCATTGGAAATCCTAAAAGTGCTGCATGTCATCAAATGTCGATGCTGATAATATTATGCATACTGTAAATTCGAAGAGCGAAATATTGACTTGAATACCATTTTTTTCATTAGTTCTAATTTCTATACACAAGAAGCATCATTCAGAGTTGTCACTCTTCTTAAAAGTGCACACAAATATATATAAAAATAATTGCTGTGAAACTACCGTAAAATAAATGTACACGAAAAAAAATAACTGTGCAGAAACACCGAAGATTTTAAGAATTCGGAAGATAACAAGGAGTCAATACATATGTGCCAGTGAGAGCGGTTATGAGCTACGCCTCAATTCACCGACTTTTATCATCGAAACGAGGTAGTATAAGCCTCAAACCAACAGTTATGCACTTAATGGGTGATTGTCACATCTAAGTCTGAATACTTTAGCTCTTCTTGAAAAGAACCCTATGTCAACGAATATTACTCGTAGGGTACGGTGGTATTTCAGTATGTGTAAAACATTCTCCTTCCACGTCAGCCATTTAAGCTACAGAATCTGAGGATTTATCAGACTTAAAAACTGTTGTTAGGATCCGTTTGCTTGATGTAATGCTGATGTATCTATTTCGTCCATGGACTACATCATGGAAACTACTGCACATGGCACAATGCATAATACCACTCAGTTCTTACATCTTACGGGGCATTCTTAGTAATTTCGGTTATTCAGCGACCGCAAATGAATGATGCAGGCAAAGAATTGTTAATAAACTAATAATTGATGTCCACATGTATGGTCGCTTAATTTTTAGAGCATTTAAGTCTTTAACGTAGTGTGAATTGTAGGCAGTGAGTGACTTAATGAGCTATCTTCCTACCATTTTGATCTCTTTTGAGCTCTTTTAGTAGATTTCCGCATGAGTAGCATCGTCTAAGGAAGTACAGACTTCTCTTATGTGGCTCACTTACATTAGAGAATACAGTTCTTATGTTCACTGCCTATCCTATCTGCGTTACTTATTCCCCAGACCTTATCCACTAAGTTTCTTTATCTTCTCTTATCCAGGCTAATACCATTTCTGGTGAACTTTCTACGAGGCATTTCAGTGACCAATACTAGTATTCACTGGGTTCAAACTCCAGTTAATACGTCTATAACGAGGGGTGAGAAAATACATTGATGACTACCCATAAGACGACGCACATATGATTATCTAGCGGGCGAGACCGTCCAATTTTTCTTACCTTATCAACATGAAAGGTGTCAGGAATTCTTCGGTTATTTATTGTAGACCTGCCGGTATACAGGTGGTATTGGAGTCTGGAGAAGAAATCTCACCACCTGGTTTGCAATAGATAGACACTCTTCTGACGATTATCCGTCTGGTGTGCATCATTGGCTCTTCTTACTACCGGCCTTTTTGACTCATAAACCGCAGTTCAGACTCATTAAAAGATAAGTTTTGTGAGAATATGCTTATTTTGCTATAGAAACCAAAACACTGAGCTATAGAGGGTCCTTAAGCAGGAGGACTAAGCTTGGTGCAAAAGTATGCAGCAGGTATCTATAAAGTTCTTTGCCAAATAACCGGCTGTTGCAGTTGTTGTTGGATAATCACCACCTTCATAGGTAGAAGTCTCACTCGGAGACTTTTAACATCAAGCCAACACTTTGGTAAGGGGGATGTGTGAAAGATTTTCTCATATCTTTGATGACTCATCACTTTGCGTTGTTTTTCAACTGAAATAACGTAAAAAGGAAGATCTTGTTAACGATTACGTGTTTATTTATTCAAAAAAGTACCACTTCTCTTTTTCCCCAGGGAGTGACTAAACATCTATGTGAGCGTGACAGCATTACTCGTGCTGAAGAAAACTAGCACTGCATGCGATTTGTAACATGCAGCCGAAATTTAGTGAAAATGAGAGGATTTCTTTAGGTGAGGTAAGACTAGGTAGGTAAAGAGCTACACATAGTACACCAGTCATCGAAGCTATTAACGGATGGTCTGAGATATATAGAGAGGTTTAGACTATCTGACTGAATTCCTCAAGATTTTAAGACCAAGAGTTACAGATTCTTGTTGATATTACTTCTAATTACTTTGGAAATCCATATTCTTGTTCATTTAATTATTCTCTGATTCACTCCCAATTTTTTTGTTGCAGCAACATTTTGTTACTTTTGCTTCATCTTATGCTTCTTTTGAAAGTGAGGCAATTCGTAGGGATACACCTCTTTGAACTCCATGTTGTCATTCAACAATCAGCCTGCAACTGATGTTCATTGGAAAGTGTTTGGTATAGTTCACATTCTGTGTTGAATTTATAGTGATTTTCATCTAGGTATGCTTATTCCCGTTATATCAATCATGATGCTTGTGGGTTACTTGGAAGACAGAAGTCTTGTTAAATCTGCATGTTTTCTGAAGCTGAAGAAAATATCTACGTATTTTCGTTAGGTTCAAGCCGACCATCATCAGGTTTATGAAGGATACGTGTAAAACTAAAACCACACCAAGAGAAAACTTTAGTCACTTAGAAACCTAGTACTCATTTACCTTAACTGTAACGACAATCCACAGGTGATTTAAGACAACAATAAAAATAAAGTATTTAATAGTTTGGTTAAGAGCTAGCAGCTAACCTACAAGTGTTAAGTTCGTCCATATATATGAATTACTGTTTAGTACTTTGACAGAACGGATATAAAGTGCTTAGGTGTCTTTCTAAATTAATTTAAAGCAGATTAATGCCTAGGAAAACGGGTATTCAGTAGACATTTCTAGATCTCTGGTTTATACAGCAAACTAACCATCTATTTTAAACTCTCAACAGTTTTTTGAGTATTTGTTTATCAAATGTCTGACATCTTGCTTGTAAATTCAAAATGAAAATGTTATCAGTTTCTGTCTCTCTTGATGACATAAACTTCCTACTAAACTTAGTCCAAATAACTGTATTTTGCATACTCTGTTTACCAAGTTTTCTACCTAATGGTTAACCTATACAACATGCTATTTCAAGCCCTAATTTATTCCGTTGTAACTCTTTAGTTTTTGAAGAGTTGTAATATATCACTGTGTGTACTAGTAATAACTTGATGTACTTCCTTAAAGTTGAAGGTACCAAATGTGTTAGTAAGCTAATAAGACAGATTAAACTGTCGGTGAATTAGAGTTTCAAAGCAATAAACATGGTCTGGCTATATGCTAGGTATTTTTATTCTGATTTAAACTTGAATTTACCACTACCACTACATTTTATATATTTCTGTCTGTTTTAAACAATAATAAAACTTTCTGACTGAAATAAATCGTGTTCAATAGGGACTGTTATTTATAATTTTTGATACCATATGTTGAAAGCATCTGTGGTAGTATTGCCAAGTTTGCTTTGTTTTTGACTGTTTACGTACTCGAAATGAGGATACTTAAAGTGTGTCACTTCAGTGGAAAGTTCTACGTCAATTCTTCAGTTGGATTCTTTATACTCCACTGAAATGATTACTTTTTTTCCTCTTTCGAGTTATTTTTAAATGACTGAAGATTATAACATGAAAATGGGCGGATACATTATTCGTTTTTGAGAATGCATAGGCATAAGTCAATGTTTATTTCATACAATATATTACCAGTAACAGGTTTCTTCAAATAGTTCAAGTTTTATCCTGTATGTGACAAATAAACACATATTATTTACAGGAAATTGTCTAATCAGTGTATTCAAATTGATATAGACTGATAAACAGGTAAGTACTTCATCACTTTCAGTTGACTGGCATCCAGATAAATTCAGATACTAATGCAAGACCGGAAGAAGTAGTTGTCACCTTCTGACACTTGAAATCTTAAAAATAGATAATCCAGGTTGAAACAAAACAATCCAGTGTACATATGTTAAATATAAGGTCAATGAATACTCGTATTATTATCACTGAGATTTTGAAAAATACTGAGCCTAGCACCAAAACAGCATTTAGTTCAGTTTGTTTCTCACTTAAGTATTAAACAGTATGCCGATTTATGATTATTTATTCCCTTTACGTTCCCAGTGGAACATAGGGCTTCAAACTGGAGCTTTGAAGTTTCGGTAGCAGTGGTGTTTTATTATTTTTACGGGATGAGATTTCTAGCCTCATGCCCAACCTCCCCTCTTTACCAGTCTTATTACTGGCTCAGCGAAGTAAAGGTGTGTGTCAGCCGGGATCGAACCCCGAACCACCTGAGTGGGTGGCAAGCATACAACCATTGTGCCGCCGACACACTTGCATGCAGATACGTCTTCCCAATTATTTTGAGACATGTAAATCCCAAGTTTACAGATGCAGTGTGTGAAATGTTTTTTTGACTTTTCTTCATTTAGTTCACTGAAATTTAAAAATCCAATCCTTCACTACATTTTCACTATGATTTCATTGTCTTGTTCTTCGACGATTGCAGTAGTTCGATATCTGTATTTCTGCAAAGCATTTCATATCCATAGGAGCATTCTGTAACTGTACTACTTAATCTTCTATTAATTCACAATAATTTTATTATCTCACTGTCTAAGAGTTCTATAAAATATTTATGTACCAAAGTGAATCAAATAGTTTGTTATGTTTAACAGTGAATACTTTCTGTTTTTCAAATTCTATTTTGCTAGCAAAATATATGCATATATCATTCGTTATTATTTGTTTAGAAGGAATTCCACTATTTTACTGGGCGACATGACCATTCCAACATTCCACTGGTCAGATTATCTAATCTTTGCTATTTCCCTCGTCTGCTACTCCCTTATCGGGATATATCATCGATACAATGAAGTGATTTTGGGGAAAATTTCCTGTTTTCGTGGTGTTAATTATAAATCGAAGAAAAAGAAAATGGACGTCGAGGAGCTGTTTCTAGGTGATCGTAAATTAACACTTCTGCCTATTGTCGCCAGTGTGATGGCCAGCTTTTTGTCTGCAGTCGGTATTCTAGGTACCGCGTCTGAAGCGTATAAATTTGGTGTACAGTTTATATTATTAGTTGGGGGTTATTTAATAGCCTTTCCAGTGGCAGCATATGTCTACATGCCGGTGTTTTATAAACTAAGATTGAGCAGTGCTCACGAAGTAAGTTGATAAATTTGATTCTGAATATGTTATAATGCCATTTGCAGGTTGTCGATGGCACTGAAAACAGTCTGAAATTAAGTCCTATGTTGACTACAGAAAGGTATTAGAGAAAAAAAATGGTTCATTTCAAAATAGACTCTGTTGGTTGATTTTTATTGTATTTTGGCGATTTTTCACTATTATATAAAAAATCAGGTTTGTATATGTCATTGAGAACAGACATTCTAAACTCATGTTTTAAAATCAACAAACTGAGTAACTTTACATTATTTTGGAAAGTTTCTAGACGGAAGAAAAATTGTATCTCCACTCGTCTGAATATAATAGGTGGTTATTTATATCTTTTTAGCATATCAGCATAAAAATATTCAACTGCTTATCTTAAATTTAGGCATTTATTTGCTAGTAACAGTTGCTGGATGGTGAGTGTGATGTAGACTGCATCGATTCAATTATCACATGTCCTCCCGCATCTTGTTTAAGAGCATTTTTGTTCACGGATTGTTATATCATTTACTAATATAAATACGACAGTCTAATTAGTGAAGTTTGCTTTTGGAATAGTAAAGCTTTAGAATCCATAGAGACTAAAAGTTGACAGTTATTCTTACTTACTCTATCTACTGATACAATATCTGCTTTCTATTCATTTGTCCGATCCAAGAAAAGGGTAACTATGGCGTCTTCACTGTCTGGTTTTCAATAAAAAAATACTAGATCAACCTTTCCGTCTTCTTTAAACTTCACAAGAATCAGTGTTTGTACACAGCTCATTAAAATCTTGTCCTAAGTCTGTAGTGTGCTGTCTAAGCCAAGTGACATAGTATTGTAATAGATTACATTATGTTAATAAATACTGGAGGTTAGTCAATAGGAGGCAATAGTTGTCAGCTTCTTTTTTACTAATTGCTCATCACTGAATCATAGTGTCAACAAAAGATAACACTAATGCAAACTCTTTTTCTTCCGTTCCATGTCAAATAGTACCTTCAGATGAGATTTGGAAAACCTGTCCGATGGATAGCTTCTTTAATATTTATATTACAAATGGTAAGTTGCGTGCATTAATATTTATGCTTTATGTGTTTTTATAAGATTTAATTCATTCTGGGAGGTGGTTTGAATTCAGATACAGCGGAATATCATCTGTCTGTCAATTTTCCAGCATATCCTGTCATGAACAAATTTTGTATTTACGACCAATTCTTCTCAGTTTCATATTATACAATTTAGTGCATCACAGTGCTACTTCGCTAAGCTTGATGACTGATATGCAGATTTCTAAGTCAAAGGCACAGTACTAATGAGCACAGCCTCGTTGGGCTGAAATTTTAGAATACAACATTACAATATTCACTGGTTTCCCTATTTCCAATTCTTTCCATATTCATCAATAACTAGTTCGAATTACTGAATGTATAACTGTGAAGAAAGGAAGGTCCTTTTCTGATGACTGCGTGAAAACTGACTCAACCAATGTATTTCCGAATTACCAGGATCCATAGTTCTTTGAAACGTAATTGCAGCTAGAAAACAACAAACTAGGATGTTTTCATGGGAAACAAACTTATCCTGCTGCAGAATTACAACGCTTGTATTTCATGATTTAGAGTAGGCGTCTAACTCCATCGACAGTGAGGTTTTATAGCAGTATCTTTCATCGAAAGAGATGCCTCGAAGGCACACCACCTAGTGAAGGCTGTATACTAGAAAAAGCTTACAGGTGAATTGAGTTTCATGGGGGAGGGGACATGTGTTATTAACATCGAGTTGTATGCATCAAGGATATTTGCTTTCCATTTTTATTCACCTTTATAATACATATGTTTCTAGTGATTTCTGTTTTCAGGAAGCAGAAGGCTCCTCTGTCATACATTAAATCTCCTAATTATAGTTCAGATAAGATACAAATTAGGGTGGAGTATCCTGTGTTAAACCTATTGACGTAAGGTCATTTCGGAAGAAAGTTAGAAGGGACTAAACCAAGAAATTGCATCAACTTATGATGCAGTTGATTCGACCGAAAATTGTACTTGATGGAGGTTCAAGTGAACAATATAAGCTTGTACTTAGTAACATGTGGGTGACATGATTCATTATCGATCTCATTGATTCAAATGTATCCATTCTTTAGCTCTTTTTTGACCGTGATATCTGATTTCTTCATCTCCATTGTCTGAATTCTGTCATTGTTCTGTCTGAGTTTTATTGTGTCCTTTTTTTAACGGATTTTTGCTTGGTGTACAGATATGATATGTGATAAGTTTAACCATTACATTGCAATGTGAAGTTCTTTGTTGTTATTGTCTAACTATCTATCTACCTATCTGACATCGACAACAAGAAAATATATTAACTCTCTTGAAGTTATGATTTCAGGAGAAGGTGTCGTACAGCTTAGTTCAATAATGAAATATTATGGAAAAATATTACCCTATGTATAGACTTGATATGTATGTCCAAGTTAGGGAAAATATGGAAGAGCAACATCAGCGTCTCAGCAAAAATGAAACTCTACTCGTCACTGGTCCTCTCTGTATTCCTATATGGATGTGAGAGCTGGACCCTGAATGCAGAGACAGAAAGAAGAATACAAGCCTTCGAAAACAAAAGCTATAGAAGGATCCTAGGAATAAGTTACCTTGAAAGGAAAACTAATGAATATGTCTTACACCAGGTCCATAGACTGGCAGGAAAACAGGAACCACTCCTTTCAATCGTAAAGAAACGGAAACTACAATGGTTCGGCCACACGGTAAGACATGACACATTGTCCAAAACGATTCTACAAGGCACAGTAGGAGGAGCACGAAAGAGAGGTCGACCGAATAAGAGCTGGCTTGACAACATAAAAGAGTGGACTGAAATGCCCTTGGATACGCTACAGAAAATAGCATTAAACCGAGAAGAATGGCGAAGACTGATAGCGCGAACTGTCATAGCACCCCCACGACGAAAGTCAAGGGACTGATGATGATGATGATTACCCTAGGTATTTTCCTTGATAAATTCTAATAATACTACCTTGTGAGTATTTATATTTTACCTACTTATTAATAAGGTATTTTAGTTAAATTTAAGAAGGATATATTCAAAAATACTTATTATAATAGTAATATTCGCTAATAGTATCAGGATACATTGATGAACCTGTTTAATTTGAAAATGTTTTTGCTAAACTCTTAGAGTTGATAAGGCATAATCCCGGTTCATATATCTTCCCTGTAAAAGTTTATCTTTTTCAAACTTCAAACTGGTGGTACTTATTGTTAATAATTCTTCACCTTTTTACCTACCTTCCCATTATTTGATTCGAACAATGAAAACAACTGAACTGAAGTCCACTGGGATTTATTTATTATCTGTATTCAGATGAGACTGGCATTATTAGACAAATCTTCGGCGTTATTGACCTCGATGAGCATTTCTGAAATAGAAAACATTAAATTTTGCGAAATCCCTCCGAATTCTTTGTACGCGACAGATGGGTGTCATCACTGAAATACAAAAGATCCAAAGTGACTCAATGTCTAGCAGATATAAAACCTGAGTAGAATAACCAAACGGTTATTGTGATTATGTGATGAACATTACTTAACTAATTATCAGGTTAGCTTAGAGAAATTTGATTTTCTTCTCAAGTACTTGTACTTCTGGCGCTCAATTTTATGATATTTTCTTTATACTGACCTGATAGATGTCAACTATCATTTAGTGCGTCGGTGGCACAGCGGTTAGGACTCTCGCCGACCATGCACATGGGCCGGGGTTCGACCCCCTGCCGACGCACACCCGATATCAATGGTTGGCCTGCAAAATTTGGGCTACCGGTATCACATGCTGAAAATTTCATACTTGTACCATAAATACGGTGTGGAATCAAGATATAATCAAAAAAACAAATAAATAAAAAAGATTCATGTGTAAAATGACCAATGGGAGACAGGAAAACACACTGTTATTCAAATACCTTCATCAGTACTGTTGACATAAATTCTCCAATGAAATATGTTGTTTGTCATTCATTTGAAAGAATAGTATTTATAGTATTAACAACAGCACTACACTGAGGCGTGGAAGTTCAATTAAATTACTGGTTCAAGAATCATATTCCACCGGCAATATTATGCCTATCGTTGGTAAAAAACAATATTCACATTTGTGAAAGATAATCTAAGATTCTGTATTTGTAAATAATAAATAAGAATAAATCCATCGGAAACACCTTCAATAGAATTTAAATTAGTGTTAAAACAGTTCAACAATGAGAACATCAGCCCATAGGTCAAAGTGAAATAAGCACGTAAACTAGAAATTAAATAAGTAAAATTTCCGTAGATACACCAGTTATAAAGAAGGATAATAGTCACCCATTACTTCTTTGTACACTATATTTCTAGGGCTTCAAGCCTGAGCCTTGAAGTTTCAGTAGCAGTGGTGTTTTTTATTTCAGAGTGAGGCTGCTAGCCACACGCTCAACCTTTCCTCCTTACCAAGCTTACTACCGGCTAAGCTAGGTACAGATGTGTGTCAGCTAGGGATCGAATCCCAGACCACGTACGTGACTGAGGTGTATTCTACCTCTGAGCCACCAACGCACATTTCTTTATCTTTGTCCAAGACATCAATGATAACTTCTACAAGTAATCATGAATGATGTATCAGCTTCACTTGTTTGCAAAGAGTACTAAAGATGATGGCTAGGTTGACGTCGAAAGTTTATTGGGCGAAAACGTAAGCTCAGGACCATCCAAACATTGGCAGCTTTAGCCACACTTTTATGTCTCAATATCAACTATACATCCGACATTTGCAGTTTCAGTTCTGATATTTTGAATGATAGTAGTTTGACCACAAAAGTTAAACAATTCACAGGTTAACTTTCTTATATACACTTGATTCTTCTGAATATTCTAGCTAATCCTAACTAATAATAATCCTGATTCAAAACAATTGTATGTATCTGTCGAGTTAGTTTCAGCTTTTAGACCTGCTGTGAAATGTGGTGCTATAAAGAAAGTGGACTGATTTGAAGTCATTCCTCATTTCTTAAACAAAATAATCTTTGAATTCATGTGGAACTGAATTCAAGACATTCTGTTTTACTGGTTGGAGGATTTCATCATGAGCTGAAATCAGTTAGAGAACCATTGGAAAACCACCAGGGAGTACTGGACAGCTGTTCCATCTTAATTTGGGACTCTTCAGCAGTGCGAACCAGCCACAAGGGTTCGAACCCACGACCTTCTGGATACAAGGCGTGCTCGTAGCCCATTAAGCCACTGGGACCTGATCCAATGGCCAGCCCATGAATTCTAACTTCTACCGATTCATGACATAGCGCGACCACTTCGCAGTGTCTTCTTTGATGAGTCACTGTCTCACCTTCAACCTGCTGTATCCTACTGGTCATGGCTTCCCACTAGAACCCTAGGTAACTGCTTGAATATGGCCAGTAGCTAGTGAGCATCAGATTAATTTTCAAGTATTGATTTTGTAGGGATTTTGTTTGATTTGTTGGAGGTTCTGGGTTCGAACCCCGGTGATTGCGTACTACTGAAGAGTCCTAAACTAGAACGAAACAGCCGTTCAGTACCCCTCGGTTTTCCAATGGTTCTCTCACTGATGTCAGCCCATTATGAAATCCCCCAACCAATCAAAAAAATTCCCTACAAAATCAATACTTGAAAATATTCTGTTTTCCTGGCCACTGCTTAGCTGTTTTTTATATTCCAACTTAAAAACCTAATGGTATACTTTTTCAAGCGATTATCATTTCATTTTGTTAAATATTTACCTATTAGTTATAGAAAGGTCAGCCGTTTGAATTTTGTAGTCCAACTCAAAGCAATTGACGAACAGTGTATCTCAAAGTTAACACTGAATTACTTTTAAGTTGACTGGACTGAAGTTGATTGTAACTAACAAAGGATTAGTAAGAGTGTTTTGTCATTGAATTATCATTATGTAGCATCATGTGTTTTTACGTGGATGCATGTACCTATGGAGTTCACTTTCTTCAGTGCATAATTCAGTACTCTGATACTACTACTACGGTTGCCAACGATGATTATTGTTGATTACGTCAAATCAAATAACGTTAACAATAGAAAAAGCACTGTCAAACAGTAAACAGAGTTAGCAAAATTATCTTGAAATCATTGTTTGTATCATCATATGTTTGAATTTAATGTTTTAGCAAGTTACTGCTTCACAAGCTCTTCGTTTTCTGCTGAAAAGCATACGAATTCAATCCGGGTGTCACCTTCACCAATACCTCATGTGAGAGTGAACTGAGCATGTCTTTCATTCAATGGGTTTTTGAGCGGAATTTATTCAAGCTGAATATTAAGTTGAATAATTCCCTTCCAGTGATTTTGGCTTCTGCTTTTTTCAACTTTCATCTTTACTTTACCTGTTTCTTGCTGTGACTGACTGTCCGAGATTCCTTTTGTCGTCTGAATGTATGAATCGGCTAAACAAGCTGTTACATGAACACTGGAGTTAATCGTATTAAATTGAAGATTTGACGTGATTCCTTAGAAAATTGGCCACGTCATCCTATCTGAATACATCACATATCTGTACTAACTTGTCTGTGTGTGATTACTTCGTGTGTGTTTTGTTTCATGTATTTTTGTTGTTCTCTCCTGTTTTCCTCTGCCTCCGCTCAAATCCGTTGAAAATAAACCATGTGTACAGACAGTGTATATTGCGCTTGCATTGTATGCTCCTGCTTTGGCATTTAGTCAAGGTGAGTGACTATCCCTACATTTGTATGCTTTTGTAATAAATTCCTTGTCTTCTTTCAGTGTGTGTTGATGAAATTGACTCCAAAAGTTTTTATTAATAATACTGTAGTAATCATGATTGTTTTCTTTTTCCTAATAAAACAATCACTTCTGAGTCAGTTTGTTAAATTAGTTAATCAGTTAACCGCTTAGTTAGTCAATCAATCAATAGACATACACATAGACATGTGTTGAATAAACTTCTTTCTGATCAAGAGTTCATTTTAGTATTAATGGTATTGTTTGTATCATAGATCACGTGTAGTTTAATTTACGCTGATTTTTAATTTGTGTAATAAGTTCAGTAATTAGTATTAATTCTAAACTATAATAATAAGGATGTTTAATTAATTTTGTTTTACAACTCATTATTTCTCAAACTAGCTGAGATATCCACTGTTTATAAAGTCGGATATCTGTGTTAAATGGTATTGTCATTTCATAATAATAACATCTTTATTCTGGACAGTAGTTATATAATGTACAGAATTTCCAAAGATGTTCATTGCATGATATTTTCCCTCAGTACAATACCTTCAAATAAACTAATAATTGACAGTATTTACTGTGACACAATGGTCTCTAAACCGAAGCACAAACCATTCCATTATGATATATCTGTTCTGTTTCCTTCAAGAAATTCAAGATATCTAGTTGAAAGCCAATTGTAAGATGTTCACGAGTACATTTTGAGACTCAAGAGCATAACTGATTATTGGAATACGTTGCTACCCACAATCAGGCCATTCCTCAAGTTGAGTAGCGACTTGCGAATCAGAAGCTTGTTAGCATTTGAAATACATACAAGAGTAGACAATGCCATTAGAGGTCATATCTTAATCGATCAAAACAAACCGAACGAGAGAAAATATATGCAATAGAGAGAAGGAAGTTTCTGGTAGCCCAAGTTTTAAGCAAGCTGCCGCCGCTGGAATGAAAATTTGGATCATTTAACAGTTGAATTAATTTCCTCTATCTTACTGATCATCTGTCCTACTGATTGAGCAGAAATAGTTGTTTTATTAGTAGGTCTCAGAGTCAGTTTGATTAACAAAATATTTCTGACTGACACGTGATTGTAGGTTGAGCATGATCACACTAGCTTATCAGTTATATCTTTTTCTTTCATTTTTTTCTTGAATTGCATATTCTGTTTTCTTTTGTTTTTTAGTTAGCGGTCTGCCTATATGGGTATCAATACTGTCTACTGGCACGGTTGCTACATTTTACACAGCTATTGTAAGTTTTGTATCTCAGTAAAATGTGTGTACATTATTTAAGCCTGATGCATGTGTTAATAACTATCGACTGTTAGTGAATAAATCTCACCTAATAATTTGCTAGTCTTATTCTCCCCAAAATTTACTGTCTAATTAAAAAAGCGACAAAATTAAAGATAGTAGCTTTTATAAAGAAAATTAAAGTGAACAGACCAATACAAATACCACCAGGTCATTTTTATACCTGAAGCTGTTAACAGTGTTCATCTTCATAGCTGTTTATCAATAATATAAATTATTATTTTTGAGCTAACAAAAACAATATTGATAATTACTTTGTGTGTTGTAGTGTGGTGTGACATATTAGCGTCAGCAAGAAAAAAGATAATAAACTCAAGGAGCCATAAACTTAGTTTTTTATCATAAAAAGTCGTCAATCTGTGATTGTAAACTGCCAAAAATTCCTCTAACTGGATTGTTATTTAATCTTTCTAAATATTTCACAGTATTCCACACACACACATACACTCACCGATATATTATTAATAATCATGTTTCATGCACAGTTTGTTGCTTACAATCATATCGATGTGATGTGATTTGACGTGATATGATATGATTAAGAGAAATGAATTGTGGCTTAATGGTCTACGAGCACGCCCTTGTAACCAGAAGGTCGTGAGCTCGAATCCCTGTGGCGGGTTCGTACTGCTGAAGAGTCCTAATTTAGGACGAAACAGCTATCCAGTACTCCCTGGTGGTTTTCCAATGGTTCTCTAACTGATTTCAGCTCATGATGAAATCCTCCAACCAATAAATTATGCTCGAAACACCATCCAGTTATTAACACTATATCACTGTTTTTATTTCAAAATAAACCTATTTAATATGGAGTAGTATTAGTGGACAATACTGCCTGAATTCCACTCTTAGACTAGATTTTCAGTATGTTCATTCGGAATACTCTTCAGTGACAAATTTCTGTTCTGTATTTTCTCATTCAATGTTAAATTACTACTAGCTAAGTTGAAGAAAATATTCAGTACAACAAATGATGGTTCAGTTTGTAACTTGCTCAATTATTGGTATTTCTGAAGGCTGCTTTCAATCAAAAAGGCTTTATAGATGACATTAAATTGCTGTGTAATAACGTGTAGGCTACTTAGAGTGCAGTTTTTAATTTGTTAATTCACCTTTGTACTATGGAAGTACAAAGTGCACTTCAGAAATCATCACATTTCTGCTATTTGTAGCCAAACCAATCGAAGTTGGCGAAATATTCACTCAGCATTGTAGTTTATTGTGTCGATCATTTTTCGATATTTGAATTTGTCGAAGTGTTAATGAATATATATGAAAAAAAGTGAAATCGTCTTAGTGTATATAAAACTTAATGGTTTTAAGTATAGTTTTGAAGAGTTTTCAAAAAATAAAATTTTTTTCACTATCCAATACTATAGAGCTGTTCTATTCTCTGTATAACCTAGAGTCTTGAAATACAGCTTTATTAACGCAACCATCTGCCTTGGTTAGAAAGTATTCAAGTTCACTTACCATCGCCAAAAAAGCAGGTCATCAGTATGCAAGCCTCTTTTTACAAAAAAGGGAGGCTCACACTCCAGCATGGGAATGTGCGAAAAATTTCTACGTAATTTCACGAAATTCGAATCACACTTAGTGGTAAATTACTGACCTTTGAATGATAAGGACTGTGGTCAGTGTGCCTAGAAAATGCTCTCAGTAGTGAAGAATACCTTTGAATCCTTCAATTTTAAATTGATAAGATCTCTGTCAACGGCTATCAACGATATGCAACACATGCAACCCATTGTACTGGTGACTCGTCAGTTGGATGTATGTACATCAGAATAACTAATGGAGTTCCCACGTTTGACTGCTGAGCTACAATAATTAATACATGGAAATTATTTTCTTTTTTAAGTTAGTTTTCTATCACCTCAAACTTTCCGGTGATTTTCACTACATTCAGGCTTACTGATGTTTTAAAACGGTAATTAGAATAAGCATCATGTCTAGGGGAAAATTAATCACTTATTCACGTTGTTAGATTGAAGTTTTGTAAAATTTGTAGGGGATTAAAAACACTATGAAAACGGCAATTTGCAACTGATCTATTTATTGATGTGAAATTTATTCGTTTCAGGGTGGTATTCGTGCAGTTGTCTGGGTAGATCTTTTCCAGCTTATTATTCTTATCGGAGGATTTTGTATCATCACAGTCTTAATTACTCTTAAAATTGGCGGTTTAAAACCGTTATGGGATAAAGTATTAGAGGGTCAACGTGTTCAATCCTTTGAGTAAGTAGTTGTATTTCCTTTCATTGAAATGTTTACTAATTAAGCCTAATCAGAAAATTACTCGTTTATTAATAACTGACTATTAATGCTATGTACGAAATTAATACTTTTAATTTACATGAAAAACACTGATTATTATTATCATCATCACTGATATTGATACTAAGTTCTTACTTGTCATAGGCACTACCAATTGGTTAGTGCGGTATTCACTGCAGGCATCGTTTCATTCAAGAAGAATACAATCTGGGGTAGGCATTGTCATGAAGCGAACTTTAGGAGAAAATAGGAGAGTAGAACATCGGTAGCCAGTGGATTTTCTCTTGCTGTCATTGCCACTATCGTTATTAAAAAGATGATTGATGCCTTGAGTTACTACTGTGGTGAGATCTGGCTGGCTAGCCAAAGTTGGTAGACAGTAATTGACGTCAATGTTTATGTCCCCAATATTGGTGGTGAGAAAATGAGAACAAAGGCTTTGCGTAGGCGGATACAGTTAGCATATGGATGATCTGACACAGCCACAAAGAGATGCAATGTTAACTTTCTGTGAGAAACAACCAATCAAAAGACTGTATTTTCTACTGACAATAACCTACAATAATGTACATTAAAATCTATAAATATGTGTTGATTTTCCTTAATAAACGATCTGTTGCCTTGCCCTTGTCTTCTGTTGTTACACTACTGTCTCGTATGTGAGAAAGTTGTGGAATAATTAAATCTCTCATTATGACAGCTTTTGATTCAAAACAGAGTGAAGAACCGAACTGAATGTTAAATCTAAATTTAGATTAATTTTTAGGGAATTAAAATTGATGCTTATTTTTTCTCCTCATTTGACAACTTTTCAACTGTAACTGGATTAGAATAATAATTTGACTGACTATCTTACAAGTCGACGTAGGACTTAGCGAGAAATTGTATCAGTTCAAATTCTTACACCCTGATAAAGCACATAAAGCTAAGCAACAAAAATGGAATAATATTATGGAAGAAAAAAGGGCGAGAAATTATTGAGTGAATATGATTTTACCTCCCCAGGAACTGGGTGACGATCAGAAGACTATGAACCTGCGTCAATTTAAGTAATTCTTAGCCATCTCATGAGGTGTCTGCAAGCAGTAATTTTTTATCATTTTTGCCAACATAAAGCTTCTTCGGTTAACACAGATCGTCCTCTACGATGATAGCATAGCATACCAGTCTAATCAATAGATATTTATAATTTCATTATTAAACATTTTAAACTAAACCTCACAATTCCTCATCTCTTCCTCAAACAATCTCCTCCATGTCACCCTCGTACCGACGACCCACTGGTCGCCTCTCATTTAGATTTCACTGGAGCGATGGCCTGGCGCGCAGTGTCATTCGTCGGCCTCCTCAACGTATGCCCAATCCACCTCCATTTTCTCCTACACATATGTTGAGCGATCGGCTGTTGGTTAGTTTGTTGCCTGCCAGCCAGAGTTTCTTGTTACCAATTCTTCCTGGCAGGCTGGCCATTTGATCTTCAGTATGGAGCCAGCCAGCGAAGGCAGCTGTTGATGAAAGTCTGCAATGACCTGTTGGAAATCCTTTTTGTAAAACGCTGGCCAATTTTCTGCTCCGTATAGAAGGACAAACTTGACATTAGTGTTGTAAATCCGAAACTTGTTCTTTATGCGGACTGAGTGAAGCAGAAGATTTCCAAACTGGTTTCAGGTTGATGAAGGCGTATCTTGCCTTTCCGATTCTGACTTCGACATCTTCGACTCCGTTCCGTCGCAATTCATGCAAACTTACAAATGACTACTCATTATTATACAGAAGTCATGAAATAATTGAATTATCAAAGTTAAAAAAAATTACTTGTTTATATGATGAATGCACGTGCCTAATTTTGTGCGTATCCAGTTAGTAAGCATAATTTTGTAAGGTGAATATAGTTAAGAAACATTTGAATACTCTTAACATCTTTTACTATCTATCCAGTCATTGTTTTCATATTTCCAGTTTTAGTTTTGACCCTTTTAAACGCCATACATTTTGGACATTAATATTCGGTGGTTCTGGATTAGTTCTAAGTATATTCGGTGCTAATCAAACACAAATTCAACGATATATGGCTTGCCGTGACTTAAAAACTGCTCGCAGGTAAGATGATGTGCTTGACTTTAAAATCATACAATCAAATCCTTTTTAAATGTCATATACTGTTGATTAGGATGCCTATATATATATATATATGCATATTACCGTTGCATCATTCTACGTGATATATGATTGTGTAGTAGACTGACTTATTGCTGCTTTGTTGGTTTATACTCTCATTATGTCGCGTTAACTGTACACATGTTCCCTGTTCAGTGTATTCATTTCCAAAATTGAAATGACATACACAGTTTAGTATCAGGAGTATCATAGAAATAACTTTTTTTCAGCTGCTATTTCGCTTCTTTCAGTTGTTTGTAAACAGTAAACCACTCACGGAGGAAGTAGGCCTAGCATTCTTCTCACAATGAATTTCGGTCACTTGATGAGTATCATCTCCTATGTAGTGCAATTTCTAACAAAGTTATTGCTTAATACTCCTGGCGCCTGTTGTGTTTCGCTTTCTTTTCAAAAAATATTTTCACAATTAAAAAGATCATTCTAATAAGTTGCACCAACTGTCTGTCTCATTGTGTGCTTATGTAAGTGGGAAAGAAATTACCTAGCCATATAAATGACACCTGATTAGTCTTACTTCTAGTGTACAAGAGATCTATTTATGAATAGCATTATTAAAATATTTGTAAATTATTCCCAGAAAAAAATTTATGAACATGTACGTGCTGGAATATACTTATCTTAATTGACCAGATTGTGCTCAAGCATGTTTCCTGCTGAACTGGCGTGAAACGATGAAAAATTCGAGAACTACCGCGGTAATTCTGGCCTTCTGTGAAAATAACTGCGCCATCTACATATTCAAACAGTCTGTGACACGCAAATGTGTTTAATGTCGCCTACCTCCTGACCAAAAGATATGAAAATCTTCATAGTAACAGATAATTACTTAAAGTCTATATATTCAGCATCCCTTGCAAGTGGACATAAATATATACTCAAGGAGATAATTTTCTAGTGATTCCATTTAACTTAAGTTCAGTGCCTTTTAACACAGACTAATGTGAAGTATTTGAATCTATTGTGGGAATTGGTCTTCCTTATACAATCTGAAACAATTTGAAAGGAAAACAAGTTACCAGATAGTTAGTTATTCGATTACTGACAGTGGTTGTTAAACACTAGCAGTTGTAAATTTACTAGGTTCCCAGAAAGCGGTAACCGAAGATCAACATTATTGTCAGTATAGTTAGTTTGCGAATTTGATAAATGGTGTTAATAGTTCCTTCAAGTAACTGGCAGAAATGGGTTAGTATGAACTGATTTGACACGCTAAGGTAAGCCAAACTGGATACATCACTGATGAGCTAAGCTTCAAACGAGCGAAACGGCCACCGAGTGTTTGAATCATTTCTATCTGGCTAGCAAGCACTACTGGTTGATCTGAGTGGTGTACAATTACTCCTCTCAACCAATCAGTAGTATATGGTGATATGCATTTATGTTTGGTTTCTTGACTACAATTTACTGTATCAAGAATATCACATGTTGTGATTTGAATAACTTCGGTCTGCAAAGGTTGCTGTGGTGAAATGGGCACGTTGAACTGTGTAAATTGAACATTAAGTTGCAAAATTGCGAACCAGTTTTGCAAACTGCGAATTCGGCTTCTAAGTAGCTCTTAACTTTTGTTGCCTTTCGTCACGTGATACCCTGCTTAGTCAAAAAACACAACTTACTTGTAATAACTAAAGTTTCCTTTACGTTCATCTGATGTACTGTCATTACATAATGGAGAATATTTGTAATTCAAGTGGATGATTTTGTTGTAAATGAAGTACTCTTCGAGGATGTTGTCTACGATGAGAACGAAAGCTTTGCAACTAAAACACCCAACTCAGAGTTTGCAATTACACCCAAAAATATTGTCATTATGTTTTACCGTTTACTTCTTCTTCAGTGTTATTCCACAACTGTGGGTTACTTTTATTGATTTCATGAGGGTATTATCCTTTCGAAGTCACAAATAATCAGCTGTGTAACTTGTATACAACTCATTAATATAGTGTCGAGTATTCAGAGGTTTCGTTTTAAGGGGACTCGAATATAGTCTGTATCTAATGTAGACGTATAATTCATCCGGAAACACTTCCTAACTACTTATAAGACTAGAGTCATAGAAAATACGTTTAGCTTGTTTTACCCTATCATAAGCTGTAAAAGAAACAGTCTTTTGTGGACTAGTTAGACACCACAGTCTTAATTATTGATTATTTTGCATTCTTAAGGGAAGTCAGTTTCAGTGTTAAGATCCGTATGTTGCAATTTTCAGTGCAGATAATCACTCATCCATAAGTATATGTCCTTTCTAGATAATGAAGACACTGTTTCTGATGTACCCAGAATAGTAATAATAATAATATTAATCACTTATGTCAGTGTGTGGATACATGAAAGTCATGAAGCCATTAGGAGTTACTTTAATGCAGATAGTTAAACAAGCTATTCAAAATATGCATTGTAGAAAGGTAGCTCTGAATTTAATTCTGTTTAGCTAATATAACGATGGTGCAGTTTAAACAGTGATTCATCGCTTGTGAAGTCTTTTTTACTTTTTTGAACTTCATCATAAGTATCCCCCTTTCAACGAGCCTATTGTGTAACCTTCTTTAAGTGCTTACTTATTTTATAGCTTTACACAGTACGACATAGCTTTGGGGTTCAGTTTTTATTTAATTCTCCAAGATCGTATTGATTATTTACATTGTACTTCACTGTTTAGTAACAGACAGTTACTTATTTGAAATATCTGTAAATATACATTAGCAATCAGTGAGATCTAAACTGAAACTGTCCTTCGAGGAGCGATGTCTCCTCTCTATCTCTTTCTCTATTTTGGTCAAAAAGCACAGCTAACAGTCAGCATAATCAATATGACATATAAGTAAACTGAAGTATTTAGGTGATATATAATTAAACTAGTTAGTAGACAATTTTGTGAAAGAATTACGGCCTTATTGAAAAGTATCATACCACTTTTCTGTGGATGCATTCCTTTTAAATCAGTTTATTGATCAGACCATATGTTTTCAACGAGAAAAATAATGTACAGTCTGAGGTGAAATTCTACCATGACTTTCTTTGGCAAAAAAGAAATATTCAGACTACTACTATATTTGACCTACTCGACACTTTCAATGTAAATCATACTGTAAAGAAAAAACTGAGGCCGCCGCACATATCGCCAGCTGATAGATATATCCAATGCTTGCTAGGCGATATCAAAGAGGCGAGACTAACGGATAACCATCCAACTGATTCATAGCCGAACAGGATACCAGGGTTCCTCAATTTCAAAATTTTCAGTTACAAACATGTCAATAAGTCAGTTGTTTCGAAAAATGAATAATTGAAGCAGACATTTCACCTGACTATTGATCATTGAGTAAATGAGCATGTTCTATGTTCGTGACTAATTAACTGTGAATTTAATCAGACTAATGTTGGATAGTTTCGAGAATTCGGTTATTTATTATTGTTATTTCTCAAAGGTAATATGTTAGTAGTTAATAAACTGCGTATATGAGACAAATGAAATTGCATTTATATAAAAAAGCATATCGGTTTTACGGTTGTTCAACGGCTTTTAGTCAGATGCCCTAATTTTTATTTTTGACATTCAAGACAGTTTGAAACTGATGATTTGTGAGTATATATATGTATAGTGTACTAGGTAAAAATATAAATGATCTTTATTCAAAGTTTCCGAGATTTTTGTATGCTGTTTATACATGTTCAACACTCATTTTGGACTTATGCAAGATGCTTGTCTATGCATTGGCAGATTGCACGATGGCGGATATTTGACCATGGTAGACGGGTCAGAAAATTGTATCTGCTACCGAAGATATATATATCAGCGTTTTACTTTGCATAGCATGCGTGTAAAGTTTCAGTAAATAGGTAGTTTAATAAATCAACAAAACATTCTTCTATACATGGTGCTGGAATCAACTAACAATACAATAGAACTCAGAGGCTTACATATGTGCGACAAATTAGAGTGATTACTGACACTGATATGAACACTATTCAAACATTTTGTGTGGTGCTGTGTTGATTCGATATCTTTCGACAAAACTCAACCTTGTTAATAATCTGGCTGCTGATTGATAAGCTTGAAAGTGTATATTGTGGACAGACAACAAAATTAATTATTGTAGAGACACCATTTGATAATTATCATTATTTCAAAGTGTATTATATATATCGAATAAACACACCGTATCACTATAGCGAAATTCTACGTTTGCTGTTTAATGTACAGTTTAACATATGTTGCTTTGAATTTCCTTATGATGAGTGAGGTGGATCAGACACACTCTGAGGAGGCCGTTGAGTGACACTGCGCACTAGACTCTCGAGTAGAACCTAAATACGAGATGACGAGTTGAGCATCTGAGCGTAATATGGAGGAGATCGTGTCAGGAGGAAATGAAAACTTGTGGAAAATCATAGAGTCAGCTAAAAAGGACTTCAGAAAGCAGGAAAAAGTAGATTTGTCCTGTTGAAGCCCCATGTTCCACTCGGAACCTAAGGAAATAATTAATGATAGTAACTGCAAGGTTGAAGTGTAAGAACCAATTCAACGTGTACTCACTTAAGAAGTTTAGTCCTTTTTAAGTGAGAATCCCATGAAACAAAACTTCAGTTGAGGTAGAATCGTTTCGCATTTTAAGGATTACTTTGTAAGGAAAAAGTCAGCAGAGATGACTTTGGACAGTATGAGTTCATGTTGGATATTACCGATGAAGATACTTTTGTTTTCATGTATTTTCTTAGTATCTGTTCATTTGAGAGTTTTTTTTGGAGGGGGAAGGGCTATAGAAAACTCTTCAGAAATGTTTTTTTTCATTGAAAACGAACATCAGATGGAGAAGTGTTAAAACCTAAAAAGTACTGCTGTATTAGAATGTAATACTTTTTAGTAATATGCAGCGACAATAGATTATGTCAGTCTGTAACTGAGTCGTCTTCTCGTCTTTAATAAACACGCCATATATCATCCGTCCACATCATACAGAAACCTAGCCAGAGGTTCATCAGCGAACAAATGTTGAACAGATACAAAAGTAAAGGTCACCAGCCAAATACGCATATGAGAATGAACAGAGTAATTTAAACAAAGATTGCTGAAAGTGCTTGACATTTGTAAGATGACTGATCTTGGGATCTCACTAGGAGACACTAGGCTTTCAGCCAGTTGTACCTGAGTTCGAATCCTACTCCACCTATTTCAGATGGGGCAAGTGGTTGGTATCAGAAGCTATCACACATTAAGCGTGGCTCATAGCCAGGAGAATTAAACTAATGATTATTAACCGTTTGTGGGATCAGATGAACCAGCCAGCTCCCCGTATACTTGGTTTAGGTCGACAGGCAGCGTCTTCATAAACTAACCTCGTGTGTTGATGTGATAACTTCCACAGTCTGACAGACAACAGCTTGGAGTAGGCAATTATAAGTTTGTAAAGATTCATAACCCTATAAATATTTTGTCATTTAACTCAAACAACTAATATTTGATAAAAAAAGTATGACTGTTTTTTCAAGTAAATTTTGTTAAACAATATGTACTTATGTGTTTGTTTGCATATCTTTTTATTTTTTAAATACAGAGCCATTCTGCTGAATATTCCCTTGACAAGTGTATTCTTAGCCTTTCAACTGTTCACCGGTTTAGCTATTTATGCTTATTTTTCTGGCTGTGATCCAGTTAAGAGTGGATTAATTAAAAATTATGATCAAATACTACCATACGCTGTAATGGTTTTATTCGATGGAGTTGTACTTGTTCGAGGAGTATTTCTGTCAGTTATTTTTGCAGCTGCCTTAAGGTAAGTGTGTCATAGACAGAGAGAGAGGGAGATAGAGATAAGTAAACAGAAAATGGATAATGCATACTGAAAATAAATATTTTTTTAGCATTAAATATATTTTGTGACGTTTCCTCTTGGTTGAATCTTCATCACTGGTATAATTTTAGTTGAATTTTAGAAAGAGTTTCAGAATATTTTATACTTTTTGATTATAGCTTGATTCCACACCGTAATTTTGGTACAAGTATGGCATTTTCAGTATGTGATATAGAGTTGGCCTAGAGACTACAATCAAATTAAGAAGACATTAAGTTTTTTCAGACAGTACATCTCTATTTTAGCCAAAATCCTCCACGCTTTCTTAGACAAACAAGAATTTAAGCATTGAATAGAAAGGAGGTCATAGGAGTTTCATTTTAACATAGATACAAAAGGCTTTTCTATAAGTTTACAGACAACCTGAGGCTGATCGAAAAAAGCTTATTATCTTTGTATGATAATTATCTACCTTTATTGGAGTTCGGCCACCTAATTCTGAGTGTTTCATAACCAGGATTAATAGCGTCAGTAGCAGCACCTTTGTTGAGAAGTGAGGCAGGTACAACATTATGTGCGCGTGTGTGTGAGACAGCTGAGATTGTTGTGTTTCTAGTCTTTGGATTTCGTTCGATTGTAGTTATGAGAAGAAATTTGCTAATATTGATTGACTTCTATGACCTTGAATTTGATTTTATCATTGCTAAGAATGAATCTTTGTTATGCTGCTATTCTGCTGTTCCTTGTCATCAGTATATTTGATTATTGATTGAACAGGTCATTTCTCAGCCACATTATTCTTCTTAAACCGATCATAGGTTTTGATCCTATATCCTAATGTTTACCGACTGGCAGTTTCATTTGAAAGTGAGTGTTTTTGAAACTTCTTGGCATTACACAGGAATAGTAAGCCGCCCTCTTATCAAAAGCGTGACTATATTTGTCTAGGCATGTTGAATCTAGGATGTAATATAGTGATGCAGCTGGATATTTGTAAACTTATCGGGCATTCATGTTATTTGTTGGATTGTGACTGTCCGTGGAATCCATCCACCAAATAACACCAATATTAATCTTCACACATCGTTAAAGCGTCCGTACGAGGAGCTGACATTTCAAGAGAAGCCAAACATTTTGGTTCACTTAATTAACGGGAAAAACAAAAACTGACTTAAACAAAATATTATCAGGCATTTGCATACAATGTGATTAGCGTTTAATCCTCTCCTAAGATATCTTTTCACTACCCTCGAAAAGCTTATGAATGATTTTATCCTGAGCAGAGTAGTAGCAGTAGCACGTTTTTACATTTAAAAATGACTCGATTTCGATAAGGTAGGCTGAATTGGTCAAAACAAGTATCTACAAACAGCCAACCTTAACAGGATAGTTCATACTGGTATTTTCCAGTGTAGCTTAATCGTGTATTACAGTTGTTGACATAGTAATTATAAAAGTAGAAAGTTAAAAGCCAGTAGTAGTGACTGAGGTTTCGAAGGGCTACTTAGTCACACATAAGTTCCAAACAAATCCAGGATTTAGAAATAAAATGTCGGACTGGTCAGTTCACTGATGGCTGATCGCCTCCAAGCAGGTACCTTATAAATCTTGCTGGAATCCTAGAAATTTTAAAGTTGACTCATTAAGAACACTAAATTTTACCAATACCTAATGAAACAGTGAGTATGAATTCATTATTTATCTGTTTTATATCTGGAATTCATTCCTGAAACCGAAGTTTTACACCTCAGAATCAGAATTTCATGTACTTAAACTTTTGCTGGAATCGTTTAGAGTCCTACATTTTGTTGGACTATTAGCCCTGATACTGTACGTCAACTAGAGAATACTCGGGTAATAAATCAGTGCTTCGACAATGGAAATAACCGAAATTCCATTGAGGGAGTTTAAGTAATACCAAGTAAACAAGCGAAATTGTGCTTCTATGACAAGTTGCGTTGTATTTACTTTGATAGTGTAAAGTATTAGATGGTTGGAGGCAATCGGCAGGAAGCCCTGAACCTGGGTTTCGCGCTAGTTGGCACTCATCAGCGAGGCGTATCTGCAACCTTGAAGGAACTGATGTCTCCTCTGAGGTTCGAACCCGCGTCACCCAGTGTTGCAGTCATAGGTGTTATCACTGAGCCATTCGGACTTGCGATTGACCTCCTGTAGCACTGTATTGGATATTTTCGATTGGACACTAGTCAGTAACTAGTGTTATGTGTTTAGTCGTACCTTTGCTGCAGACTGAATTCTATCAGTCATTATATATATATACATATATGCGCATAGAAACTGTATCTCTTACCGCAGTGAAGAAAATGATCTCTTTTGAGACTGATTTCAAACTTATTGTTGCAAATTAAACGTGGAAAAAAGCATTTTGATTTTAATCAGTTTGTGTTTTCTTATAATGAGCCATGCTCCAAAATGAGTCATTAAATATTGATTTCGTAATTTCCTCTTGTCAGCGCATTTCAAAAACTGAAATTGATATTTCTTTAGATAGGGAGGTGAAATTTAGCTGAAACATTCAAAAACCTGTGCTGTTTATAGGACATCGTCACTTAATGATAAAAATTAGTAGAATAGCTTAACTTTTATACACAGAAGCGTTAATGACTCTGATATCTAATAATGCACTTTCTGAGTGATAAGTGAAATTGAATCGTTCAACTAGCTTACTGCAAGATATGTACTGCCAACCTACGGATCACTGACTAAAGGTTTTGTGTACTATCTTACATAAACCGCGCCTCATGGTATAAGGAGTATTTATTTTTCTTAATGCAAAATGTAAGTGTGCTGTTGCGATATGGTTGTGATGCAGCATGTTTTGAATTCAGTCGCTGCTTACAGACATACCCATTGTTGTCCTAATCACTGACTTTAGAAATGACTTAAAGGCTTACAGATCAATGGAGCGCATTAGACATACTGATAGACAATTTGAATTGTACTATTTCATCACTTAGTGAACCACTCTATTATTATGTTTCCGATGTTTAGAATTTTGATAGCGATGAAGAGCGATCAAATCTTTGACACCATAAACTGTTTTATGGTGCACTACAAGAGTTTTAACGACTGCTTCTCAACATCTTGAGGACCTGATTTATATAATTTTCACTTTCCTAGGCGTCCGAGATCAGTAGTCTACGAATTGACGAACTGGTGTTGTATTTTTGTCTAACCATTCATAATACTCCTCGCACTTAGTCTTAACTCAGCCAGAAAAGTTCGTCTATAGATGCACAGATTGAACTTGCCCCAACCACCTCAGATTTAAACGTTCAAAAATTCATCAAGTTCATACTTACAGACTTGCGTTTGCCTCTGGGATTATTTAGTATTTCGCTGAAGCTAATGTGAATGATGAAACCTGTGATTAAATACTTGTTGTTTCCTATAGTCTACTGCTTTAATAGCCATTAAATGGGATAAAGCGAAATGCTGCTTGATAGGTATGCTATATGATAGATAGCATGAAAATACATAAGCGTGAAGATGATGCGGAATTTATGTAAACTAACAAATATTTGAAACAGTCAACTTATTTGATTACTACACACACACACACACCCTCTCTTTACTTAGATTAGAAGCTGTTTAGACTTGTCCTTTAGCATTATGTTACGTGTGATAAGTTTTGTATTACTTTACAGTACTGCTTGAACTTTTATTTAGGCGCAAAATTGTTTCTGAACATATTCTACTTCTGTTTTAGTACTGTGTCTTCGGGTGTGAACAGTTTGGCTAATGTTTCTCTGGAAGATATAATACGTCCGTTATATATTCATTGGAAAGGTGTTGATATTTCGGAGAAATGGAAATATCGAGTTGCCTTATACTTAGGTATGTTTTTCTTTGCCTTTTGTTTGATTCAATATGCGCCTGATTGATGTTTCGATAAAGGTAAAATACACAATATTAATCGAAGAGCAGTTTATTTCAGAGAGAATTCTGAATAGGTGGTTACATGTTTCAAACTTAATATACAGGTATACACGAATCCGTTACCCGATAATCACCGACGTTCTGCTTGATAACTTAATTTTTTATCACAGTTTGAATGGATCAAATCGGTGATAGTAGTTTGAAAATGTAACTGACGGTCGAAATTATTTTGTTTTAATGATTAATGCAAACAATAATATGGACTAAGCAGGCAGTAATGCTTACTTGTATTGAACTATATTCACTATTCAGTGTATGCGGTTAAACAGATGAATTTAGCATTTAAATCCCTTTTATTTATCCGTTTTATACTTCAATACAAGACCAATGCTTATTCACACCTCCTGAGATTTAAATTTTCTTGAGTAAATTATTTGTAGAGACTGATGTTATGCCCTATTAGAGAGCAAATATACCCGTGAAATAGATACTTTTCAGAATAAATTATGCACGAGTTGAACAACTTCTATTCAGCTTTATTCAATAGCACTGTGTTCGTTGAAATTTCCAATGTTTTGTTAATCACCATGTGAACCAAACGTTTATTTTTCAAAATAATCTTTGCATAAATCTTATGAGAATGATGAGACAATGCCGATAATTTTGTTTTGTAATGCTTAATCGGAATTCATTTCGGTGATTATCATAGCTTGTATACACACATTATGCACACTCATACTGTTAGTAATAATAATAATAATACTCGGATTATTATAATAACAGTAATAATTAACATTCTGTAAGAAAATGAAAACAAATTGAATGAAGGAAGTTCAGTTAATTTTATAAAGCCACTAAAGACAGGTGGTATGTATCTACTACCTCAAGCACCAAAAGGAATTTATTGCCAAGGATGCAATAAAAAGAATATTATTATTATTATTCGAAAATGCTGTAGTCTAAGTCAAATGAAGGGTTTATTCATCAGGCGAATTCATATAGTCTGTAATACTGCCTCTCTGACAGTCACTTTTTCCTTTGACAGCAGATGAGTTTCATTCGTCAGTTCTGATGTAGTCTGGTTCTGAAGTTATCTCTGTATGATAATATTAGTTCATCCTCTTGTGACACCATTATTTGTTTTCCTTGCAGCGCTTTCATTAGATGAGAATTTTCTTAACGACACTGATTTCATCGATGCACTGACATTCTGCTACTCTGAATTAGTTAGAACTTGGTAATTTAGTCTATATTTTTCGGAGATACTCTTTTTCCCCTAATTATGTGTTAACAAAAAATTGACTTTCGATTGCTTTATTGTGATATCCTTCGATACAACACGTTTTTATAACGAAATCCTAAAGAGAAACAGAATAACATACTAAATCAGTTATCCGACAATAGATCACATAAAGCATATTATGCCAATCTTTCTGCATCTTATGCTTCGTACACTCTCAGTATTTTTACTTTTTAATTGATGGGAAGATTATTTGGGATAGTTTCCGATTGACAGATCATTATTGATGTAATAGTTTGATAGGTGAAGGTGAGATGGAAATCTGGGTACTTATGGGATTCGAACCAACAGTCTCCGGATTACTATCTGAGCACTGTACTAATTGTTAACGAGGTCATCGTTCTACTTAGCTGATGTACATACAGGTTAAACGTGAAATTAATTCATTAAATTGATTTTTCATACTCCTAGATATATGAGATTTTTATTTACTTATTCTACGTATATATTGTTTATTTATTTGTACTTTACTGTTTTACTGAAAAAAAAAATCGTTTTCAGGTTTTATATTTGGTATTTCAACAGTTGGTTTAGCATTTATCTTCGCTTTATCCAGTTCACATATTCTACAAATATCATTCGCTTTATTTGGAGCTATCGGTGGTCCAATATTAACTGTATTCACCGCTGGCATACTTTTCCCTTGTATTAACGCTAAAGTAAGATATTTTTATTTTATTAAAGATATTATCTTAATGACAGTGTAATAAGGATAACAACCACTGGGTATTCTAGTGCTTTTCACTGTTTACAATAAGAAAAGTTTTAATGGTATGTCATATGTAAAAGTATTAACCAAAGTATATGTGTTATGTTCAGATCATGGGAACTTCTATTTTTGGCACAATTTACGGTATTTCTCATTTAGTTTTGTTCTCTAAGCTGGTTGATTTGATTGTAAAGCTTCCGTTGTCCTCCTAGACAACATACTCAGCTCAGGTTTTAGTATATAAAACGAAAGCTTCGCGAATAAATCAACCAGTTCAGAGAACACAACTAAATCGAAATCATCCACTTGAGCTAGATATCTTCTCTGTTACAGTTTATGATACGCCTTTGTGATACATTGCTTCACTTAGTCAACTTGTAACAAATATTTCATAGGTTGAAATTCAGCTGTACTTAATAAGAAATATACAACAGGATTCTGTCATCTTGTATTTTGACATGGCGTGTCAGTAATCACTGAGAAATGCGCCTTATATAGACAGAAGCTTACTGTCGTATACCAATGATGATCTGTTTGTCAGGTAAACCAAACAGTGAAACTGTTGACAGTCAGTCATATTAAGAAATTTTTAACGTTACGCAGCATATTTTATTGAGTGTCTGGTGCTCTTGAAACACTGTATGTCGGAAAATCCTAGTGGAGTTGAAACTTCAGTTTACTGCATGGCGTTTAGTATTTTCAAAAACACTGACGCAATAGAATAAGACAAAAAATTCAGTGAAATCACTTTCTACTTGAGCTTTAAAATCGTCTCCTCCTGTGTCATGAAAACAAAGTTGTACCAACTGAGGAACTAACATTGACGCTTCTTTTTTTATCTGTTTCAATCAGCAGATTATAAATGCCCATTTATCAAATTATTGTTAGTGCGTAATATAACTAGAAAATAAATCCTGCATCTGCACAATGTGTTATGTAGTCCAGTTTGAGGACAAACATTTGAAATAACTTAGTTCTAGATTATCATATCAGTTAAATAGTCTTTTGTGGGGAATTCAAGCCATTTTATATTATTAACATGATAGTGTTGTATGCTAGGGAAAAATGATTATAACTTTTTGGAATGTGTTTACAGAAGCAAATAGATCTCCATTTTCCTGTCCTCCTAGAGGGCTTCTTCTGGAGCGTGCATGGGAATTTGTTAACATTGTTGGAGATGACCGCCAAAGATACCTATGCTGGACAGTACCTAAATCATTCTATTTTACGTCCAGTCGCTGTTTGAGGGACCGCGAAAACTATTCTTTGAAGATAGCTTGCATAAACAATTAGACTTTTTTGAAAAGCGATTGTCCACAGAAGAGTGTCTAAAGAAATGTGTTGTTTTAATATGCAGAAGAAATTCCCCTAATCAAAAGAACGTTGTTACGGTCGAGACTAAGACTGTATTTATCCAACTAACCTTCAAAGGAGGTGGTGTGTCTCACTGGGTAAAAAAACACTAAGAGTTAGCCTTGCCATAACTTATCCGGTAACTTACCTTGTTTGTTTGTGGTACTAGTCGGAATTCGACAAGTGCTCATCAGAAATCAACTCTAACTATGCTTACAAATTCACACGTACATGCCAGAGCAATTACCTTGGAAGGAAAGACAGATGAATTCATTCACTTCTCCAAACATTTTGTCAATCTAATCAAATGAGTACCTTTTTAAACACAGGTAACTCAATGCTGAGGGGATTAATTTCGTGTTGTTTTACACTGTGAGTAATGCAGTTCATGAGAATAAACACAGGCTTAATCAAATTTGATTCAAATTCCCAATTTGCAATCTTCACAGTTCGAGGTGAAATGCCACCAGTTCAGACATCGTATGTCATCTTCTTGATAATATAAATGGTAGTCGCGAAAGCGGGCATAAATGCATTTATCTGTATATTGTTGACTTATTAGTATGGGTAGTTGCACACAACTCATTTCATGCAGTATACTACTTGCTTATCAGTTCGAAGTGATCTAAACACCAGTTCGCCCAGGTACCTAGCCAGACTTCGTGTGATTTGAAGTGATGCAGCTCTCTGAGCTGAGTTAAACTAGGTTCATCATTAATGAACTCAGCCTCATATGAATAAAACAATCGTCCGGTGTTCAGATTGCTTCGATCTGGTTAGTAGGTACTAATGGTTAATGTGATTGGCGTCCAGCTACTCATATCAATCATTCAGTAGTATAGATAATATGAGCAAATTTAGTTGCATATTTTAGGTCCAAGTCAAAAATAGCAACATGAATAAATGCCCTAATAATTTAAATAATGTCGACTTCGATTGATATTTTTTCATGTGGAAAGTAAATCTGCTCTCAGTTTTAGTTATTATCATTTAGCTGAATCTGAACTAGTTCAAAAATTTTCCCTCTTGCATAGCTTCATGCACGAAGTATGCCTTTAGCATAGTATTAACTTGTACGACACCATTCATGTTTTTGTTGATCCAGGGTGGAATCTGCGCATTAGTCAGCAGTTTTGTATGCGGTCTATGGTTGTCAATAGGAGCTACTTTCAGTTATTCAGCAGACAATAGAAGTTATTTACCATTATCAATTTCCAATTGCTCCTTCGACATTCTACAAAATGCGTCATCTAGTGTAAATGCAGCAGGTGCAAAATGGTCATTTTATTCCCTGTCATACCTTTACTATTCGCTGGCATGTCTGATTGTTGGAATCTCTTTAGGGTTGCTGGTCAGTGCATTTTCAGGTAAGATTTATCAATTTGTTTTTTTTATTGACATATTAACGAAAAGTCTTGATTCCAATGTAAATATGAAACCAGTTAGGCAACAGTAAAGAAATGATACCAAAGTCAAACGACCTTGAGCCAGCCGATCAGGTAGCTTAGCATTACAAATAGATGCTTTGCATAATCTTCGCTGTAAGATACACTCTAACCTTAACAATAAACCTATCTTTAACCTACCCTAACCTTTACCCTGAGTCAGGATGAAACTTGCAACGAAGATTAAGAAAAACATCCATTTGTAGTGCTGGGTGATCTGATTCGTTCGTTCAAGGTCGTTTGACTTTGGCATCTATTCTTTACTGTTGCCACCAGTTATTCCTTAATACAATAATCACAACACCATAAAACAGACGCCAAAAGGAACTGCTTATATTGTTACCAAAAATAGATAAAGGTTAACAGCTAATCGATAAAAAAGTTAAGTTTCAATCTCTGACCTATAGTTGCTTCTGCAAAGCCAATTAGAGTACAGTTAAATTACTTTTTTGACTGTGCATCTTACGCGTCTTCCAATTCACCAACTACCTGGCGATGTCTAGCGCGGAATTTGAATTATTTGCCAACAGACTGATCCTTCTTAATATTCATATCAAGAGCTATAAAGTTATCTCGACATAGTTTAACTTCTTCATCACTAATGTAAAGAAGATAACAATAAAGTGCCTATAATGTGAACATGCAGATCCTCTATGGGTAAAAGGAATTTACCTCTGAGTAGGCCAAGTATATCACTTTTGGAAAAAAAATAAGAACATCAGTAAGATAATGTGATATCATTTTATTACATTGATTTTGTCATCTATATAAAACCAACAACAATTTTTATATCAATATAAAAAATATTCATATATTTTATTTATTGAGCATGAAAGCAAAGACCATTAATATCTTCTAATTAACACGTTAATGACTACCGCTTCAGTAGTACGTAGTACTAGTAGTAGTAGTACTGGAACTAGCTGGCGCTTTAGATATTTTAAGTGATTTTAAAACACCAATTCTATGGCCACTATCTACCAAGTGATGGGCGATCGCAATGTTGGAGAATTTCACACCTTTCAGATGGACTTTTATCTGAATGCTCTCAAATATGCAGTGACAGATCCTCCTTTCTGTCCTTACTCAGACTGTAATGGAAATTATTTGTTCTCTAAACTTTCCATAGGCACCTGGAGACTAATAGAAGAAAGAAGGATGGTGAAACAAAAGATTCTCCAGTGAATCGACGAGCAACAAAAACAGGAGTTGAATGCAAGCTGCAATAAACTGAACAAAAGAGTAAAGAAAAGTGCTAGGGAAGACAAAAGGCAATATTATGAAGCTATGGTAAGTGAAGCAGAACAAGCTGAAGGCAAAGGATCCCTCACAACACTCTACTGAACAATTAGGTACCTATCGAGTAAAAGATGAACACAAATTAAGCCAGTGAAGGATGACAATGGAAAGTCAATCACCAAAGAGGTGGAGCAAAGGAAACACTGGGCTGAACACTTCAAAAGACTTCTAAATCGACCGCCACCTACAACGCACCCAATAATACCTACAGCGGAAGCAGAACTACTAGTGGACATCAACCCTCCGACGAAAACAGAAATCCTGAAGGCAATAAAGATGCTAAAAACTAGAAAAGCAGCAGGACCAGACGGAATCCCAGCAGAGGCAATGAAAATGGACCTAGAGACATCAGCGGACTTGATGGCAACACTACTGAAGAAGGTGTGGAAAGAGAGCAAGGTACCTGCGGATTGGAAAAAGGGCTACCTATTCAAACTGCCAAAGAAAGGAGACCTAAGTTAATGCAAGAACTGGCGCGGCATTATTCTCCTGTCCATCCCAAGCAAAATACTAAGCCGCATCATCCTGGAGAGAATCAAACAAGCCCTGGATGAAAAACTTCGACCGGAACAGGCTGGACGCAGGAGGAACAAGTAATGCATAGATCAAGTCGCAAAACTACGAATCATCATTGAACAGAGCTTGGAATGGCAGTCAGCTCTCTACCTCAGCTTCATCGACTTTGAAAAGGCCTTCGACAGCATAGATCGAGAGGCGAATCGGAAACTACTTCGCTACAACAGGGTGCTACCAACAATCATACACATCATCCAACAGTTATGCGACAATGCTGCATGCCAAGTAATCAACAACGGGAAACTCACGGGATCCTTCGAAGTGAAGACGGGAGTAAGACAAGACCACCTACTATTTCCAGTGATTTTCCTGATTGCCGTAGACCGGATAATGCGACAGACAGCAGGCAGCGTGGAAACAGGCGTCAAATGGACCCACACAAAAAACTTGAAGGATGTGGACTTCGCCGATGATATATGTTCGATTTCATACAAACTGGAAGATATGCAAGTGAAAAGCAACAAGTTGGCAGAAGAAGCATCAAAGATAGGACTTCAGGTGAACATAGAGAAAACAGAGGTGATGAAGATTCCTGGACAAGAACAACAACAACAGATAACAATCAGCATAAATGGGAGGAGTCTGAAAGAAACAACCTCTTTTACCTACCTACCTAGGAAGCATCGTTTCAACTACAGGTAGACGGAACTGATGAGGATATCAAAGCGAGGATCGGGAAAGCAAGACAAGCTTTCATTACTCTCAAGTCTGTGTGGAGATCAACAGCATTCAGCACGAAAAATAAGATCCGGATTTTCAACTCCAATGTGAAGTCACTGCTACTATACGGACCAAACTTGGCGCGTACGAAGGGCACTTGGAACAAACTACAGACCTTCATCAACAGCTGTCTTCGCTCAATACTACTTAAGATCAGATGGCCGGCCAGAAAATATCTGCAACAGGGATGTCTGGGAGCGAGCCAACCAGGAACCAATTGTGCAACGAATATGCAGGAAGAAATGGAGGTGGATTCGCCATACTCTGAGAAAACCATCATGAGTGACATCACAAGACAGGCTATTGCTCGAGTGGAACCCGAACGGAAAGCGGCGACTTGATATTCAGTGTGAGGGTGACACGGAGGAAGTCATGTGAAAAAGAGATGAAAGCATGTAGGCAGACGTGGAGCCAGGTGAAAACGTTGGCGGAGAACCAAACACAATGGAGACATGCGGTTGAAGCCCTATGGTCCTCTTGGAATTAAAGGAAACAATAATAATAAGCCTTCCATATATGGTCATATACATCCCATCATCAATCATTGATAAAATAATTAAAACAGAAAATATTAAACAATTTACACTGAACATCCTTCAGGCATATTCTACGGCTAGCACAATATGCAGAAACATTTCCAGAGGATTGTCTTTTAATGTCTGATATTGCATAAAATGCCTCGCGGTGAATCATATATCTACATTTTGTCACTTGATTCTTGTGAACACTGCAAGACTTGATGATTCTTTTGGTTACTATAGTGTGTTATGACTGGAACTACGACCTGGTAGACTTTGAGCGAATACTAACTAAATGCGCTGGCTAATCTATCCTAATCGCATGTCAATAACAACAATAACAATGACAGTGCCCTCAATCAAAGACAGAAGAAATGACTGGACGTTGATAAGAGAGTTTTTACGGTCTGAAAACAACAGTCAAAAAGGTTGACAGCACTTGCGCCCAAAATGACCTTGAGAAGCACTGATGTCATTTATAAATAAGGACAGTGGACAACCAATAGGATTCCAGAGGTCGAAGGTAGGGTGAGAGAAATTAAGGTCATAAATCAATAAGTGGTATGAGAGAATGCATCCAGACATGCAAAAATGACGTGTCGAAAATTAGATCTATGTACTATAGTGTGATAATCTATATCAAAAAATTCCATGAAAAATAGTAGGGTTTTTCGTCGCATCAGTCGCGCGAACAGTGTAGCATTTTTCTACATCTTAAATTTCTAAGCATCTACTGTCTTCTATCCTTGACCTCTTAGATGTTAACCACTTTTATGATTTCCATATCTGTTTGCTTTGACAGTTGAAAGTTTGACTAAATAAAAGTAAATTTTTGCCTGAATTACAATGTGGCTTCCTCCTTTTACAAAAGAATTTCTATACACTATTCTGTGTCTATGATCAAAAAACATGGAAAAAACACGAAAAGTGGATTCAGTTTAATATTTGTTGAGTAGGGTAAATTAAGACATTTCGGCAGCTATTGTATTTGCCTGTCAGTAAATCTTTATTTATCCACTCTGTAGTTTTGATTTTGTTGGGACGAGAACAATTAGCCTGGAGCGTTTTTGAGGGGGGGGGGGGGGTTGAGAAACAGAAATGTTTGTTAAGCTTAACGAGAAAATATATTATAAACATATAATTAAAATTGTTAAAGATTATGAGCTTCTCTAAATACATTTACAACAGAACTGTGTAATTCGAAAATGATCGCTTGTAAATAACATCAGTCAGTGATAGTACTACTCTTCAAGAATAAAAAAGATTGCCATCCTAGTTATGAAGAAAGGATGGATCAGCTCGATCATAATTAGCCCATGAACTACTAGAATTCAGAACTATACAACAATTAACTAGAATTTGGAAACAACAAACCGACTATTGTAGATTAAAGAGGCTAAGTGAAACTGTTGAATTTGATAACCCTTTTGTGGTGGTGTGATACAGACAGGGTGTACCAACGGAATATTATTCTCACATATTCAATTCGGTATTAGCAATAGAATATGATATATCTATTTGAACATTCTATTTGATGTTAGAGACAGAATACTTTCCCACAGTTCAGTGCTGCATTGGCAACAGAATACTATGTATATTTGAACATTCTATTTCATGTTGTTTGATATAAACCGAAATCACACGCTCAGTGATTGGTTAAAGAATATAAACTGTACATATATAAAAAGCGGTTTGATCAACGAAAAATATACTTTGGCTTCCGTGTCTTGCCTTCTGTTGTTACACTTTTATCTACTTATAAACTTCCCTCTGTTTAAATAGAATGGTTGTGCTAGAAATATCAGCGCAAGTACAATACAGTTGTTCGCCTTTCTGAAACACAAGGTTATTTCTCCAAAATAAACTGATACGCTGTTGTCAAATCAGCATATACTGCCATGTTTTCAGGAGGATGTCTGGCTTGGGTGTATATCACAATAAATCAATTGTCATAGATACACATGATGACATTGTAACTTCCACCGTCAAGTGTAACAGCCAGATAACTACTATCAATTATGCTGTCGGTTATTCCACCTGATTGTCGAGAAGTACGACGATTTATTTGTTTAGCATGCAGGGAATTATTCCCAACAAGTAGATGAACAATTTAAAAGTTCCCGTTAGATGTTCAGCTAAAAAAACACGAAATCTTGTGTGAAACTGTCTGGATTTCTAATTGAATACACAAAGTTAGTAGATTATGACAATGAGACTATCTGAAAGAAATAACAGCTTTTGTATGACTAGTTGAAGGCATATTCAACATTATTATTATTATTATTCGTAATAATATTATCTTCATTTATTCAAATGGAACAAAAATTATTTTTTTTTATGTACTTCTTATCTAGGTTTCAACAGTCGATCTCCAGTTAATCCTAGATTATTAGCTTGGCAAGCTCGTGCAGTCTACCGACACTTACCTAGTTGTTTCCCATCACAAACAGCGAGTGACGAGGTGAGCTATTTTGTGTTAAATTACAATTTCTGTTCATTAATCTCGACAAACAGCGGGCAACGAGGAAACAGGCATAAAATGGACCCACACAAAAAACTTGGAGGATCTGGACTTCGCCGACGATATATGTCTGATTTCCCACAAACTGGAAGACATGCAAGCGAAAAGCAACAAGTTGGCAGAAGAAGCACCCAGGGAAGATAGGACTTCAGGTGAACATAGATAAAACAGAGGTGATGAAATTTCCTGGGCAACACCATCAACAGCAACAACAACAACTGACAACAATCAGCATAAATCGGAGGAACCTGAAAGAAACAACCTCTTTTACCTACCTTGGAAGCATCGTTTCAACTACAGGCGGACGGAACTGACGAGGATATCAAAGCAAGAATCGGAAAAGCAAGACAAGCTTTCACTACTCTCAAGTCTGTGTGGAGGTCAACAGCACTCAGCATCAAAAATAAGATCCGGATTTTCAACTCCAATGTGAAGTCAGTGCTACTTACTATACGGATCAGAGACTTGCACTGCGCGTCATAAAGAGCACCTCGAACAAACTACAGACCTTCATTAACAGTTGTCTTCGCTCAATACTCAAGATCAGATGGCCGGCCAGAAAAGATCAGCAACAGGGATCTTTGGGAGCGAACCAACCAGGAACCGATTGTGAAACAAATAGACAGGAAGAAATGGAGATGGATTGGCCATACTCTGAGGAAACCATCAAGTGACATCACTAGACAAGCCAGTGCTCGAGTGGAACCCGAAAGGGAAGCGACGAGTTGGTCGTCCAGGGGTGACTTAGAGGAGGTCATGTGAAGAGGAGATGAAATCGTGTGGGCAGACATGGAGCCAGGTGAAGAGTCTAGCAGAGAACCGAACGCAATGGAGACGCATGGCTGAAGCCCTATGTTCCTGTAGGAATTAAAGGATGCGGTAATAATAATAATAATCTCGATCATTCATGACTTACAGTTGTCAAGTTGAACATAGCTCGAACAACAAATATAATAGGATAACATGAAGGCATTTCACTTAGTTGCGCATTGTCAAATGCAGACAGTCTAAAACAGTTTCAATATCAATACACAGAATATTCATACATTTTATTTTTTGGGGGCGTATAGGTATAGATCATTAATATTAAGTAGTAGAATAGCATAATGGAAGGGGAAAACGGGTTATTAAGCTTTATTTACTGGATGATGTATCGAACACAATTCATTGTTCACAATCATGCCAGTTACAACTAAACTTCGAAACTTCCATTTTATAGTTCTCTTCATTCCTTCCTATTCGTTGTAGGGGTAGTAGAATTTGTCAGATGTCCAGGACAGGTGTTAAATCCCAGCTTCCATTATCAACCTGTCCTCCCCCCACTCTATTATGTTGGATTTTATTCCATCCTATTTTATGATTGTGTGTTATTGCATTTAGTACTATAGATGAGCTATTTTCTAGATTTCTTAGCTTGTTAGGGTCAACTAATCTAGATTTTGCTAAGTTTTTGTGCCCTGCTACTTTGACCTATATATTTGACCTGACAATCATTTCAGGATATCAGATAAACAAAATTCGTTTATTTAGTGGGCTCCATAGAATGCCACTTTTATTCCTGCATTGATAAGAATCCTACGTAAGGTCTGCGAGTTTTCTTTTTTGCATGGAAGTACTACTGATGACTTTAATTCCTTATTGTTGGTGTTGTCATCATTCTGTGCATGTCTGTCATGCATGTCATTATTGTTATTAATACTTCTTTCATTATTATTATTAATTTTATTTTTACATTTCCTCACATGCTTCCTGATTAATTCATCAGGATAACTGTTAAGTTTTAAAACTTCTCTTATATTCCTCACTTCTTTTCTTCGATTTTCCTTGGTACCATTTAGTCTCTTACCTATATACTTAAACATTTAACCGATCCTACTTTTACTTACATAGGGTGGGATGAACCGAAATCGAAATGTAGGTTTCCTGTAAACTGCAGTGTTTAACTCCCCATCTTTTATGCTACAGTCTAGCATCGGAAGCTTCCCTTTCTAACTTTCAAGTTCATAAGTGAATTGAATTGTCTCTACCTTTGAGCGGCAGTTTTCGAAAAATTTATTTGTCTTTGTTTTTATTACAGTGCATTTGTGGCCCACATATCTCCACCATATTTTGGGAGGGTGTGGGGCTGAACGTTCCAATGGCCAATTTTTCCCACCTATCCACGAATGTATCTGCAACTATCGGGGATACTGTTGACCCCATAGGAACGCCCTTAGTCTGTTTGTATATTTTCCCTTGGAATTTCAATACTGTAGAATTCAGGCATAGCTGGACTCCTAGCACTACGTCTTCTAGTGGCACTTTTGTTCTAAGTTCAAGTTCTCGGTAATAAATGAGTTCGTTTTTGGTCGTTTTTACTGCCACATTTATTGGCATTCATATATAACGATGTCGAAACTAATCATTTTTTCTTCATTATCTATGTCTTAGTTCATAAGAATTTGTCAGTCTAGATTTTATGTGGCTTCTAATCGGATTTAATGCCATAGCTAAATATTTAGACAACTGATAAATAGGAGAATTTCTAAAGTCAACTATAGACCCAGTAAGATATCCTGACTTATGAACTTTAAAATCATATGCGCCGCTAGGATTATTAGCTTTCGTTATCAATTTAAACCATTTAGACTCGCCTAGAAACGGCTTTATTCAGGATAAGATGATAGTTTTAAAATCTAATATAACAGAGTGGATGGAGAAGTTGATAGCGCATAAGGTTATCTCGGATAAACTGAACTGTTAGATGGGAATTCTTTTTCGCTTATTTCCTCAATCTTATTTTATGAACCTAATACAACTGCTAACATATAATACACTATTATTATTATTATTACTATTTTTAAGGTAACGTGTAAAAACAGAATTTCTCCCGACACGTGTATACACCATCAACTAAGTAATCCATATGAAGACGGCATGAGTGTGAAAACAGTCAACGGGAAAAAACACTCATCTGGGGAAGGTGATATTATATCAGTTGGACAATTTATTCCCAACTAAGATTACTAACCACTTCAGAATTGCATCCTGAATATGGCAGTTTATCAAACAATGATAAACAATATCTCAAGTACTATTTTTTTTACTTAAAGACGATTTATTATTTTCATTATGTATAGATAATATGTACTAGTGATGTCAATTCACAAGAACATGTTCAAGCTAAACACTGACAACACTATTCATCTATTTTAGATGTTCATAATCAATACAAGAGGCTGCTGATTTTAGTGGGTTTTTTCTTTTTTCATTCTAATCCGCATTAACATTAATAAAAAGAATTTTCGAATATAAACATAGATGAAAGGTTTAAAACAGTCAAATCATGAAACATAGGGAAAAACAGTGATCTGATTATGTTGATGAAGTGTAAAAGTTGAGAAGCAGGATTAATTGTTCCTACCTAATGGCTAAGTGATACTAAGTTCACAGCCATGCTCAACTAATAGTTCTAAGTTAGGACTGAACAGCTCCTCAACTGATTTTAGTTTTAAATAAATCTCTCGTTAATATCGAATAACTTTAAAGATTTTTCGACCAACTGTTGTTGTTGACAAGGCTAGTTAAAAATGCCTCCAAAGCCTCAGGATGGTCGGGGGTGGGTGCCTTGCGCTGCGGGTTGACTACCCTTCTGCACACCTCTCGAAATGCTCCCATATGACCAGGCGTCGCACATAGCCTCTCCTGAGGAAGTCCTACTCACTGCCTTCACGTGGCGGAGGTGTTTTTCACCAAAGTGAGAGGGCGAAAGCGGATGTCCGGCGCTCTTCACCTGGTTGACTGTCCATTGGATGACAGTCTAGGGGAGATGGCTAAACCCTGATTCCAAACCTCCAACGACTGGCGTATGAAGCTCACTGGAGCTCACCGGCAGACGTATGGACAAAGGGCTTGTTGGATGTCCTGGATGTCTGGCCCCATTCAAAAAGGCGTATGAACCGAACTCCGGTCACCGGCTGCCAATGGATAGTGGACTCCCTACTCCACTCCTACTGCCTTGTAGGTCACACTTGGTTGTGTAAAGGCTAGAGCTGCACTCTCAAACAAAGGGCCTAGCGATTCTTGGGACATCACTCGTACCAAATTCCCATGAAACTTCATGAACTCTCTTATAAACGACTCTCACCATGCCTGGGCAGCGATGATTCGAGATGTTCATGAAGCCGGCTCATCCTCCCGTAGGAGATAGCCGAAGTAAAGTAAAGTAAGTATACGCTAAATATACATTCAATCAGGTGTCGATTATATGTGGCTAAATGCTTCTTCTTCTAGTTTCAATAAGCAAAATGTGAGCTTATACATATACGTATATATTGGCTGGAGGATTTCTTCATGAGCTGACACCAGTTAGAGAACCATTGGAAACCTTAGGAGCACTGGACAGCTGTTTCATCCTAATGTTGGGTTTCTTCATCAGTACGCACCCATATATATGTGTTCATTTTTGGAATTTGTTTTTCAGTACTAGAAAAAATCGCCCTTTAGACATTTAAAAGATCGAAGGACTGAGAGGGGAAATATTTATTTTCCCATTAGATCCTCATCTATGGCTCTACGCTAATATACGCTAACATTTTTAATACAATACGACAAATCTACTAATCTAGTGGTGATATGTTTGTTAACAATAATTAGTCAAGAGGGGAGCGGTAACTAAACGAGAAAATTAATAAAACAATAGCTACAAAAATTAAACAAGTGGACTGTTTATTACAAAATTTTGGGAGAATAAGCAGTAATTAAGGAGAAAAAAAGAGTGTTCAGATTGATTACTTAATAAGTAATTGAAGATGAAGTAGTCAGAATAATAAAATATTCTGGACAACGATAACTTATAAATAGCTCAGAGGAAGGGAGAAACTAGCAGTTTTTTACATTCATGTAACGATGGCCAAGGTAAAGCAAGTTACCTCACAAATTTCTTCTAAACACACAGGTGTGACTTCTTCAAGTGAATTTCGATGGCTTCATCTGCATTTTTTTTATAGAAGACGAACTCGTAAAGCTAGATTAATATTAGTTGCGATGCGATAAATAAAACTTCAAATGCTTTATTAAAGACAACTCTATGCTCACTATCTACAAGGTGTGTTGAAACGGAGCTACAAATATATCTTGTTTGTCCCTTGGTTAACCATATTTTTGTCGGCGAACGTATCTGGAGAGTCATTTTTATTGAGTAATTGTCTGATAATCTAAGGGTTCTCATAGACACAGTCGTTTGAGCAGATTATCTTAGCTAATTTGAATCAAATACTTTACTGAGTAGCGTTTATGTTTCAGAGGTGCAAAAACTAAAAAAATGAGTATTCTGACGTGTCACTGCGGGCTTTCTACACACAATCCTTCCTGATGTACAATCCTCTTACTTGGTCGAAAAGACGTCTAGGAATGAAATACTATCACTCGATTATTTCTCGATTGTGAAGTTTATTAATGGATGCGCACAATCAAACTTGCTGAAGATGATCGTTGCTTCGTTCTAGGTTGTCTTAATCGAAAATTTGTCATCCGTATATTGATTCTCTACAGATTAGTTGTTTATTTTTACTGGTTTTATTACGAGATTAAATTTCTGTAATGAACTCATGTGAGCAGGTGACTAACATTATATATTTAGCTCTGACCTTCATTCACTCAAAATTACAATGCATAGCATATTTTACTTCATTTTTCAACCATTAATCGATAAGACTAATGAGATAAGGACTGCTCTTGTGGCTTAAAAATAGTCATAGTTTCTGGAGGAACTTACAAAAGTGGCAGTTATCAGAGTGAACTGAGTCCCCGTTCTATCAGGATAAGTAATGACGTCATATATTCAACTCAGTGTCGTTTGGGAGTGATTAATGGTGGATTAATCAATAAGAGGTGATCAGAAGGAGGCTTATGAACAAGAATGAATAGGAGGCGCATGAATTGACGTCTCCGAAACATGCTTTTTGAAGCAGATATAGAAATCGGAGCGAATTATAGAATTGTTCGATTTCATCACGAACCAATATAAGAGTTAGAGGGATCATTGAAAACCAGGGAGCACTGGACAGGCGCTTCCTGCTTTTTAAGGACTCCTCATCAGTGTGCACTCACGACGTCACTTGGGGTCAAACTGCGAACCTTCAGGTTACGAGACCAGTATCGATAACCATCCAGCCAGTTGAACCGGAATTCGATGACTCGTGAATTCTTTATCAACTGGTGATATAGTTCTAACCTTACTAACGCTTTTGATGAGCATTCACTTCACCTTGATATGATGAACCCTACTGGTTACACCTTCTCACCACAGCTTCAGGATATCCAATCAGTAGGTATCAAAAGGTTGGAAATGTTGGTTCGTGATTTGAACTAATAAATGAAATGAAATTAGTTCAGATCACATAATCCACATATGGAATCATTGTAGTTTGACGTATATGTCTAAATTCAAGACTACTCACTTTGTAAGTATAAGACATGCTTGAGAAAGAATGAGCTATGATCAAGAAATTCCAAAATTTTCAAGTGACTCATTCTCAACTGCTAAGATTCCACATACTATCTGAAGACTTATAGTTAGCGCTGGCTAGTTTTGTTCCAAAATAAGCCTACAGTTAATACCCATCAAGGCGTTCTACGAATTTATAAGTCTGCGTTTGAAGCACTCAAAAAGCTTGCATTTTAGTTTCTTCCCCTAATATTACTGCACGAAGTGTGAATTGTAAGTCAGCTAACTCTTTTCTAAGTAGCGTGTTAGTTCCTGAAAAATTTCAGACAGGTACGTTTAAGTTATCGGTAGAACAAAGTCAAATGATAATGGTGAGATAAAGCATCCATCACGCGTGAAGTTAGTTGCAGTTAATTTAGCTGACAAAACTAAGTGAACTTGCGAAACTGTGTGAATTTAGATTGAAGGCCCCAGTTGGTATTCTGTTAGCCATCAGACATTCAGACATTACCTGTCAATCCATTGGGTAAAACCCCCTACAAGTATATACGATCCAAAACGTCGCCTACTTTATCATCTGCTCCGAAGCTCAGAAAAATACAAGTTAGGTGAGTGTAGTTAGTGACCTTAGCCCGGAAATAGCCACTTTATCATCATAGGAACTTCCAGGCACAGAAAAAAGAAACCTGTTTCCCCCTGGAATCGGGAAGACTCCTATATTAGAGAAAATATGCCATGGGCTGATGAAAGCCTATTACAAACCAGTCGACCGATTTTTCCTATGTGCATGGAAGCAATAGCAAGCATGCAATGTCCAAACCATCTTCCAGGATGAATAACAAGGCTGCTCAAATTGCAGAAATGAAAAGATACTGTGCAGAAGTGTTAGAAATCTATGAGAGCAGACGGAATGGAAGTGGAATTTCCGAGCTGTTGTTTGGAGAGTCGACAATACACTCCAGCCACTGAGGCGGCAACGACGAGGATGTGGATATCATAGTGTTATCGATAGAATTAAAGGCTCTCTCTCATGCGGTAGTAACCATTCTCCTTCAGGAACATATGACCAAGATTTAACTGATAAGAAAGAAAGGAAGGATATTATTATAGAATGCTGCACACCTACTAACAACGCAGACGATGAGAAAGAGGAGGACATCTGAAGACAACCCACTGCAAGTAGTATTGGAGAAGACCCCAGTCCGAAGCCGCAGTCGAAATTCTAATGGATAATATGACTGACAAAATGAGGTGAGTAAACACAGAAAAGGAACTGATGATGGCGAAATGAACAAGAGAGGAAAACTATTTGACGACTTCTGTGTCTCCAATGATTTGTTTGTAACCTTGAAATAGACTGGAAATAGTCCACAGTTCAAGTTCAACATCCAAAAACTGAAGGACTAGGCTAAAATAGGATACCTTCAGAGCAATAATCAGGAAAGAGTTAGATGTTTTAAGGAACACGACCGAGGAAGCAGGCGTCGTAGAACACTGAAAATGTCTGAAAGAGACATTGTACAAAACCCGTATAGGTATTTTAGGCAGGAAGATGAGGTAGGTCAGGGAAGGGCCTGATAGAGGTACCTGGAAGTCGATACAGCAGAAGAGGATTCTGAAGCAGAATATGAGCCAGTACAAGGATGAACAATGAAAAGAGAAGCTAAGTATAATATATAGAGCATTGAAGAAAGGGATGAGGATGAGTGTTTTTACCATGCACTGTCAACTGAAACTGAACATATTGCAGGTATGAGACACATCACAAAAATATACCCAATGACCTGGTGGTT